GACCTTCCCTTGGTGAATCCATGCTGGCTGTTCCTGATCACTTTCCTCTCATGCAAGTGCTTCAGGATTGATTCTTTGAGGACCTGCTCCATGATTTTTCCAGGGACTGAAGTGAGGCTGACTGGCCTGTAGTTCCCAGGATCCTCCTTCTTCCCTTTTTTAAAGATTGGCACTACATTAGCCTTTTTCCAGTCATCCGGGACTTCCCCGGTTCGCCACGAGTTTTCAAAGATAATGGCCAATGGCTCTGCAATCACAGCCGCCAGTTCCTTCAGCACTCTCGGATGCAACTCGTCCGGCCCCATGGACTTGTGCACGTCCAGCTTTTCTAAAAAGTCCCTAACCACCTCTATCTCCACAGAGGGCTGGCCATCTCTTCCCCATTTTGTGATGCCCAGCGAGCAGTCTGGGAGCTGACCTTGTTAGTGAAAACAGAGGCAAAAAAGCATTGAGTACATTAGCTTTTTCCACATCCTCTGTCACTAGTTTGCCTCCTCATTCAGTAAGGGGCCCACACATTCCTTGGCTTTCTTCTTGTTGCCAACATACCTGAAGAAACCCTTCTTGTTACTCTTGACATCTCTGGCTAGCTGCAGCTCCAGGTGCGATTTGGCCCTCCTGATAACATTCCTACATGCCCTAGCAATATTTTTATACTCTTCCCTGGTCATATGTCCAACCTTCCACTTCTTGTAAGCTTCTTTTTTATGTTTAAGATCCGCTAAGATTTCACCATTAAGCCAAGCTGGTCGCCTGCCATATTTACTATTCTTTCGACTCATCGGGATGGTTTGTCCCTGTAACCTCAACAGGGATTCCTTGAAATACAGCCAGCTCTCCTGGACTCCTTTCCCCTTCAAGTTAGTCCCCCAGGGGATCCTGGCCATCCGTTCCCTGAGGGAGTCGAAGTCTGCTTTCCTGAAGTCCAGGGTCCGTATCGTGCTGCTTACCTTTCTTCCCTGTGTCAGGATCCTGAACTCAACCAACTCATGGTCACTGCCCCCCAGATTCCCATCCACTTTTGCTTCCCCCACTAATTCTACCCGGTTTGTGAGCAGCAGGTCAAGAAAAGCGCCCCCCCTAGTTGGCTCCTCGAGCACTTGCGCCAGGAAATTGTCCCCTACGCTTTCCAAAAACTTCCTGGATTGTCTATGCACCGCTGTATTGCTCTCCCAGCAGATATCAGGAAAATTAAAGTCACCCATGAGAATCAGGGCATGCGATCCAGTAGCTTCAATTAGAGATACATCTTTCACTTGCTGTCCTAAAATTGTTGTGTAGTGAGCACTGTTCAAATAATTGTCATGTTTATCCCTGAGGTGTCTGCACTTCATTAGGGGATGAATTTGATATATCCCTTATCAATCAGCAAGTGATTGTAGTGTATTCCACATTTAGCATATGTGAGTGGGTAAAGTTTTCTGCCAATAGCCTTTGGAATGTGGTAGAATCCATGAGTTATACTGGCATTAGATAAGATTCAGAGAAGGGCAACTAAAATGATTAGGGGTTTGGAACGGGTCCCATATGAGGAGAGATTAAAGAGGCTAGGCCTTTTCAGCTTGGAAAAGAGGTGACTAAGGGGGGATATGATAGAGGTTTATAAAATCATGAGTGGGGTGGAGAAAGTGAATAAGGAAAAGTTATTTACTTGTTCCAATAATATAAGAACTGGGGCCACCAAATGAAATTAATGGACACCAGGTTTAAAACAAATAAAAGGAAGTTCTTCTTCACACAGTGCACAGTCAACGTGTGGAGCTCCTTGCCTGAGGAGGTTGTGAAGGCTAGGACTATAACAGGGTTTAAAAGAGAACTGGATAAATTCATGGAGGCTAAATCCATTAATGGCTATTAGCCAGGATGGGTAAGGTATGGTGTCCATAGCCCCTGTTTGTCAGAGGGTGGAGATGGATGGCAGGAGAGAGATCACTGATCTTTACCTGTTAGGTTCACTCCCTCTGGGGCACCTGGCATTGGCCACTGTCGGTAGACAGGATACTGGGCTGGATGGTCCTTTGGTCTGACCCAGTATGGCCTTTCTTATGTTCTTATGAGTTTGTTTCCATGTTGAAATAAACCATTAAACCAACAAAATAAAAAATAATTATGTAAACTTTGAATGAAAATTTACCATGTTGGATGCTGATATATAATAAAATAATGTAACGATGCAGTACAAAGATAATAGGGCTAAGCCGAAAGCCCTTGAAGTCAATGGATACCTTCCCGTTGATTTCAGTAGGACTTGAATCGGACTCAGCATAAGGAAATTCTCTGAAGAATAGGTCTTAGGTCTCTTGTGGGTTATGCTATCACTTCAGTAGAATTATTTCCCTGTATTTGATTATCTGTTATTGTTGTATTACAAATTGTCAACCATGTAGTATTAGGTATATACAAATTTTGAGAATGCTGAATGAAGCTTCTATTTTAAAATGCCAGCTCAGCCGAAGTTCAGGAATTTGTCTTTGTAGTCTGTGTATGTATTGTGGAAACTTTAGATGACTATTATTTTTACCTACGTAGTGGCCATTGTAATATGAGTGTATTACAGAAATTAACATGAATTGTTTCATTGAAATGGCACAGATCAGACCCACCTCACCATCTGCCATTCCTTTCCATGAATGAGATAATTGCCTTCAGTCTGTGGTCCAAATTAAGGAAAAGCCAGGGTGATTAATGTTGCACTGCATCCTCAACATAAGGTAAACTTGGACTTCAGCTGGCTGAACCTGGTCACTGACAGAACGAATACTATGTGTGCTGAGAGGATTTTACTAAAATCCCAAACTAGTGCCTCTCCTTTCTAAAGGTGATAAATTCATACAGCCCCTAATGTAAAGAATCTTCTCATCAGGAAGCTGTGTGATTCAGTGGATAGGGCACTGAATTGGGAGTCAGGAGATCTTGGTTCTGTTCTTGGCTCTGCCATTCATTTGCTGTGTGTCCTTAGGTTAAGTGATTTGTCTATCTGAGCTTCAGTTTCCCATCTTTAAAGTAGGGATAATGATTCTTACCCACATTTAGTGCGTTAAGAGGTATGGCTAAGAAGTGCTAATATTATTATTAGAGTATGACTGGGGACACTGACTGTAAAGTTACATTCCGTTTACTTCCTGAACCATCTTGATGGTTTTGCACCAGCCCCAGCAGTGCACAGCTGGGATCCTATCAGTTAAACACAACTAGTAAGATCTATACCACCTATGCTCAAAAAGTGCAGGAGCAAAAGCTAACGAATGAAACAAAAAGCCCCTCGTGAGGTTGGTAGGCGAAGAGAGGCAGTTTTGATTGGGAGGGGAAGAAAAGAGATGAAAAAGGGACATTTTGTTCTGTCCCTTCTCCCAGAGTGCCAAACTGCCATTTCAACATCACTTTCTGGCCCTTTTTAACACACTTTTTAGAGTAAAACAAAAACCAGGAAACGAACAGAATACCCCAATTTATTAAAATAAAAGAACAGCAACTTTCAACTTGCTTTAGGGCAGAAACTGCTGCTGGAAGGGTAGCTGGGTTTCTGAGGAGCAAGGAGTAGGGAAGGGCCCAAAATCATATATTTTAAAGGCCAGAAAGGATCATTACGATCATCAAGGTCTGACCTACATGGCACAGGCCAAAAATTTCATCCAATAATTATTGTATCTAGGCCAATAACTTGTGGATGAACAGAAGTATAACTTTAAGAAAGACATCCAATCATGGTTTTACAATGCAGGTGATTTTATACAAAAGACTTCATGTAAACAATAAATATATTCAAAAGAGTTGAGAAAAGGTGTTTATTACATTTTTCCTATTTTTCATTTATCATAATAGGAACTACTTTGACAGTGGAACAATAGTTTTCATAACTTCTGACAGCTGTGTTTATACTTTTTTTTTTTTTTTTTAAATAATGATACATGAAATTAATGAGCTATACACTAAAAATAATAAACCACTTCAGGGACTGAAGGCAATTGGTACACTTCTCAAGCTCTTTGCAAGTCTTCAGGAAGACTTCTGATATGTGCACTGATAGTACACTAATGTGCACACTACCATGTCTTATTGCTAGGGCCTATCAAATTCATGGTCTGTTTTGGTCAATTTCACAGTCATAGGATTTGAAAAATTGTAAATTTCATGATTTCAAATATTTAAATCTGAATGTCATGTTGTTGTAACTGTAAGGGTCCTGACCCAAAAGGGGGATGTGGTAGGGTTGCAAGGTTATTGTAGGGGGGGTTTTGGTATTGCCACCCTACTTCTGCACTACTGCTGGAGATGGTGCTGCCTTCAGAGCTAGATGACCAGAGAGCTGCGTCCGCTGGCCAGGAGCCCAGCTCTGAAGGCAGTGCCGCCACCAGCATCAGTGCAGAAGTAAGGATGGCCTGGTATGGTATTGGCACCCTTACTTCTGTGCTGCTGCCTTCAGAGCTGGGCCCTGGGCCAGCAGCCACCACTCTCCGGCCACCCAGCTCTGAAGGCACCGCAGAAGTAGGGGTGGCAGTACTATAACCCCCTTACAATAACCTTGTGACCCCCCACCCCCGCAGCCCTCTTTTGGGTCAGGACTCCAGTTTGAGAAACGCTGGTCTCCCCCATGAAATCTGGTCTTTTGTGTACTTTTATTCTATACTACATAGATTTCATGGAGGAGACCAGATTTCACGGTCTGTGACGTGATTTTCATAACCGTGAATTTGGTAGGTCCCTATTTATTGCTATATTATTCTGACGTTTCTGAAGTTCAAATGTAATCTTTCTTTTTTTATAGTATGTAAGGCAACTAGCCTGAAAATTATTCAATTTTTTTTCCTTTTCCATATGAACTCTTTCAGGTTTTCTTTCTTCCACTAAGCAACACCATCCTCAGCTGTTTCAAAGATAATTCTATCTTTGCATGGGAATGTGATACTCTTCAGTGTAAATACCAGTTGCCAACTCCAATAGAAGGCTCTACGTTGCATTATAAAGTCTTTGCCATTACCAGGTAAATTGCTACTTTAAATACTCAGAAAGAAAATATTACAAAATTCTTAGCAGACAATACAAATTTTTCTCTCCTTTTTCTAAAATATTTTGCACAAGTGTTGAGCTGTAGGTTTTCACCTCTAAACTAGATACCAAAGTTATTTTTAACAGAAGTCAAAATGTTAGTGTGAGATGTTTTTTTTTCCCCCCTCAAAAAAGTATTTAGGTTTTCATACAGAAAAGAAAAGCAGACTAATCACTCTCTCCAGCAATCTCTATGCAGGGCTGCACAGTCCAATAAAGGTGAGGAGTTAACAGAAAACACTTTTGGTACCAGCTCTAAGTGTATTCAATACAAAGAAGAAAAATGAACTCAGAATTGTGTGAGTCAATCATGTCCGCTTTAGGCCATCTCAATTTGCATGCCAGCAAAGAAAATATAATTGCTGCCAAAATTACTTATGAAGATAAGCAATTACAGCAATATTGCTATTGCTGAGAATAGTGACGTAGCTGGACAGCGATCCAAACTTACTACTATCAATAGGAAGTCTTTTATTTTAGAAAGGTGCACAACAGTAGTAGTCCATCGATAACGCTTGTTTGTTTTTAGTTTTTACTAAATGAGTTAATGTTTCCCCATACTTATCCAGCAACTTACTTAAGCTATTTTATAAACTCATAAAGGATATCCCTCTCTACCACTTGAACATATTATTTTGTCTGAACAATCTAAAGATTTTTAACTGAAGATGAATCAAAGCCCACAACTTTGGAATCTCAACTTAAAGTTCTGTGGTGATCAGTGGTAGCATTTTGAACCCATCTATAGATTGCACCATTCCTTGCTGAGAACAGCAGCACCACTGTGTACTGCAAACCCATGACCACTGGGGAAAAAAGACCTCTTTTTTAATTTACACTGAAAATGAAGTTTATAAATGTCCACTACAAAACCTGCTTTTTATTTCATTTGAGAGCTGTTTCCACATTATATGCTTGCAACACAATACAACAGAAATGATGATCTTCAGCAGTGATGATTTGTGAGCATGGAAGGTAATATATGTCCCTACAATTGTAACTAGCAGTAGATTAGATTGGTCTAATTCAAACTTAGTCCTGTTTCTGATGCAGAGATGGCCGGGTGCTTGTAACAGGAGGAAAATCGAATCATCTTCATTTGTGGTGTCTGGAATCAAAACAGCTGTTAAGAATAATCCAGATGCCTACAAAAGTACGAGCTGTTCGCCATCTGGAATTCCTTCCTGATAGTTTTGATGGTGGTTCTAATCAGGTCAGTTGTATAGGAAGTTTAAGAACGAAATCACTTGGTTTCTTAACTGAAATCACACACTTTCTGAGATTTACTTTCCTTATTCTATACTATATGCAGGAAAGTTACTACATTAAATATTTGCTCTGTTGCTGCTTCAATTTTTTTATTTCAGAATTTTGAATTCATTCTTTTCTATTTTGCATTAGGACTAATTTATAGAAGTCTCCTTTATTTCTAGGTTCTTGGAGTGCTAAGTCAAGATAATATTATGAGATTTATCAATATACAGACGTGCAAACATCTGTTTGACATTGGGAATCATGAGGAGGGAATCAACACAGCAGCTATTAGCCCAAATGGACGGTATATTGCATCAGTAATGCAAAATGGTAGCCTCAACATATACAGTGTCCAGGCTTTAACGCAGGAAGTAAATAAGGTAGAATTATAAGTAAAGTAAATCACAAAAACAGCATTAAGATACCAATAAAAGTCAGTCTCCCGCACCCAGAAATTCAGTACTGAAAATACAATTTGTCATTGACATATACGTTGTAGCTATGTAATATAGGATGCAAAATAAACAACATAGGGATTATAGACCTCACTTTGTGGTTACTCCAGTCTGTTAGGCAAATTTTGTTTTAAAAATATTTAATCATGTTCTATCTTCCAGTTTTTCTGTTCTTCTCACAACAATTTAGTCTGTGCACACCTTTTTCTCAGCTTGGTTTGGATCATACAGCTTTTTGTCCATTTCCTTCTTGGAAATACCATGAAACAGATCTTGCCTTATCTGCAGACACAAATGAGTTTTGTGATGCTGTGTTTGTCAAGAAGTATTCCCAGTTTATTCATCAGGCCTTGGAAGCCATGATTATAAAACAATCATATAGCTAGTCCCTTATGTAAATAATACATATTATAAAGACTAGCTTTTATTTTACTAAGAAAATAACTTCTGTAGGTAGACATGGGGGGGAGACACTCTTCTAAATCCAGAATTCCGTATATCGTAAATCATCACACACTAAAAGTAAGCATATAAGGCTTACTGTGTAATAAGGGAGTTGAGCACAGGCCTTCAAGTCATGTGACCTGATTTCCATTCCCAGCTTTAATGCTGAGTTTGAGTAGGGCTTTTGGGCAATTTACTTAACTACTTTATTACTCACTTTTCCTCATATTTAACATGGAATATTACACATTCTACATGGGTCTTGTGAGAATTTGCTAATGTTTGTATAGCACTCTGAAGTGCAAAGTAGTATAGTAACATTCAAGCACACACTGAAGTAATTTATTTTAAACACAGAACAATACTTATATGTTGGTCAAACTACATACTAGTGTGCATCCTTGTACATCTGATACAGAAGATACATTGTTTCTGGTTGAGTCAACATTTGAAAATCATGATTAAGATAGAACCTACGTAAATTTGCTTGTAACATACCTCGTTAAGTGTGTTTGACTTTCATTCACTTATCACATCTGTTTGGGTTTTGATTTACACTGTGTGTCTCATCAAGTCATGTTTTATAACACAAACATCTTTCAACATTGGTCATCAAGTTAAAGAACACTGTATGTAAACTAAAGTGTGCTCATTATAAAGGTGGGCATTGTAAAATGTTCTTTCCTACAGTGTCATAAGATGTTAACTGTATCATTCTTATTTGATGCTAGCCACCACCACCCTTGGTTAAAGTAGTTGAAGATTTGTCAAAAGGCAAGTTGGGAGCAAGTAAACTTACAATGAGAGTAATATCAGGAAGGTCAGAGAGGCCTTGGAAATCGAGAGGAAGTAAAACTCAGACCAGAGTGCTAAAACCACAAGTGAACACATCACTTGAAAATAAAGAGGTAAGAGCAAATTGTAAATACTTTCTCTTCTCTAATCTGTAGCATTTGATTTTCATTGCCAGAACAACTCTCCATTGACTGTTTCCCCAACAACTTACTTTTCTACATCCAAGTGTTTGCTAAATCTTTAATCTGACCAATGCACTGTTTGCACCTTTTACCTTCCTTACATATCTCTGCTGTAGAGCATTACTTCTAAACTGTTTCCCAAGGCTTTCACTTGGTCTATTGTTATCTATATATTTCAGTATTGTTACTCTCTGATACCACGGTTTATTTTCTTCTTCAACTACCTTGCTAATTCTCCTCAATTCTTATCTTAAATCACATGTGTATCCTCCTTACAATAATATGCCTGACTAATCTAATCGCCTTTTATGATGAGATTACTGGTTCTGTGGATGAAGGGAAAGCAGTGGATGTATTGTTTCTTGACTTTAGCAAAGCTTTTGACACGGTCTCCCACAGTATTCTTGTCAGCAAGTTAAGGAAGTATGGGCTGGATGAATGCACTACAAGGTGGGTAGAAAGCTGGCTAGATTGTCGGGCTCAACGGGTAGTGATCAATGGCTCCATATCTAGTTGGCAGCCGGTATCAAGTGGAGTACCCCAAGGGTCGGTCCTGGGGCCGGTTTTGTTCAATATCTTCATAAATGATCTGGAGGATGGTGTGGATTGCACTCTCAGCAAATTTGCGGATGATACTAAACTGGGAGGAGTGGTAGATACGCTGGAGGGGAGGGATAGGATACAGAAAGACCTAGACAAATTGGAGGATTGGGCCAAAAGAAATCTGATGAGGTTCAATAAGGATAAGTGCAGGGTCCTGCACTTAGGACGGAAGAACCCAATGCACAGCTACAGACTAGGGACCGAATGGCTAGGCAGCAGTTCTGCGGAAAAGGACCTGGGGTGACAGTGGACGAGAAGCTGGATATGAGTCAGCAGTGTGCCCTTGTTGCCAAGAAGGCCAATGGCATTTTGGGATGTATAAGTAGGGGCATAGCGAGCAGATCGAGGGACGTGATCGTTCCCCTCTATTCGACATTGGTGAGGCCTCATCTGGAGTACTGTGTCCAGTTTTGGGCCCCACACTTCAAGAAGGATGTGGATAAATTGGAGAGAGTCCAGCGAAGGGCAACAAAAATGATTAGGGGACTGGAACACATGAGTTATGAGGAGAGGCTGAGGGAGCTGGGATTGTTTAGCCTGCAGAAGAGAAGAATGAGGGGGGATTTGATAGCTGCTTTCAACTACCTGAAAGGGGGTTCCAAAGAGGATGGCTCTAGACTGTTCTCAATGGTAGCAGATGACAGAACGAGGAGTAATGGTCTCAAGTTGCAGTGGGGGAGGTTTAGATTGGATATTAGGAAAAACTTTTTCACTAAGAGGGTGGTGAAACACTGGAATGCGTTACCTAGGGAGGTGGTAGAATCTCCTTCCTTAGAGGTTTTTAAGGTCAGGCTTGACAAAGCCCTGGCTGGGATGATTTAACTGGGAATTGGTCCTGCTTTGAGCAGGGGGTTGGACTAGATGACCTTCTGGGGTCCCTTCCAACCCTGATATTCTATGATTCTATATTAATTACAGCAAAAGGCATTCATTTCTGATTTTTTAATTTATGTGTAAACTTAAAACTTATGGTTATATCCTGACTTTACTGGTAAATTAATCATATATATATTTAGTCATTTAGGGCAGTGGCTCTCAATCTTTCGAGACTACTAGACCCCTTTCAGGAGTCTGATTTGTCTAGCGTACCCCCAAATTTCACCTCACTGAAAAACTATTTGCTTACAAAATCAGACATAAAAATACAAAAGTGTCACAGCACATGATTACTGACAAATTGCTTACATTCTCATTTTTACCATATAATTATAAAATAAATAAATTGGAATATAAATATTGTACTTACGTTTTAGTATATAGAGCAGTATACACAAGTCATTATCTGTAGGAAATTTTAGTTTGAACTGACTTTGCTAGTGGTTTTTATGTAACCTGTTGTAAAACTTGGCAAATTTCTAGATGAGTTGATGGACCCCTGGTTGAGAACCACTGATTTAGGGTCTGATCCAACTCTCACTGAAATGAGTGGGAGTCTTTCCATTGAGTTCTGTAGGTATTGAATCAAGCATTTAATTTGTATTTTGTTGCAAAATGCCTAGAATACTGTGGCAGGTACTACTATAAATAAAATGTTTGCTATAGTAGGTGTTGCTAGTGGATGTACTTAAGGTTGAATTCCGGTTTCTATTAGGGAACTGGACTAGATGACCTCTCAAGGTCCCTTCCAGTTCTATGATTATAGCCTCCCTCTTTCATTTTTTTATAGTTTTCTCAAAACATCATTTTGTACTAAAATTTTCTATGCTTTTTCTCAACCCAAAGTGATACTTTTTTAAAGTCTGAGCAGAGTAGGTTATACCATTTTAAAAATGAACTTGATTATAAGTATCAGAAGGGTAGCTGTGTTAGTCTGGATCTGTAAAAGCAGCAAAGAGTCCAGTGGCACCTTATAGACTAGCACCTTATAGACTGTTTGTTAGTCTGTAAGGTGCCACAAGACTCTTTGCCGCTTGATTTATAAGTACTTCCCCATATGGTCTGACTAGAGATTTTACACTCGGTTATACAAACGGTTGAAGCTAGAAACCTGTATTTGGGTTTAGCCCTAGGGAAACTTAAATCAACACGCACACAAAAAAGTCAAGATTAACGGAAATTGATTCAGTATTTTTTAAAGTAATTAATGCTTTCAAGTAATAGTACTTCACGTTTCCTGGCACCTTTGATCTGAAGATCTCAAACCACTTAAACAGCTAAGCTTCACAGCCCCCTGTTTCCCTGGGTAGGTCACTGTTCACCAGATGGGTTTACTGATATACAAAGAGGTCAGACTTACGCATGAAGGATCATTAAGTATGTTGTGAATTTTTGTTTATATTAATTTTATCACAGTGCCTAAAGATTGGTATAGGGCAGTTACTCAACAAATCTAAATAAATACATTACCTGCCAAAAGCCACATGGTGAATCAGTGGCAGAACTGGGATTAGAAGTCAGGGTCCTGAGACTCAGTCCTGGGTTCTGACCATTATAAATACACATTTAAAAACCAAAACCACATGCCCCCGACCAACCATGTCAACCACCTCTATGAATAATAAATAGAGATTATTGGGACAAAACCACTATTTAAAATTACTGTTTGTTTCCTGTTTTGTAGAATGAGTTGCCAGATGGATTAAACAAGAAACGTCTACAAGCCTTACTGAAAGGATTTGGAGAATATCCAGCAAAATACAGGTGAATGTGGGTGTGCCCCGGTGTGCACATGCAAGCAAATTTAAAATCTCTTTTGCTGTACTGATTTAACAAAGGGAATTCTCTTTGCTAAATCTATGTTTTACTTGCAGGATGTTTGTTTGGCGTGCCTTACTACAAGTTCCTGAAAACCACTTAGCATTTAGTAGCCTAATAGATAAAGGTATCCATTCTGCATTTGTGCACCTAAAGGACGAATACCCCATGAAAAGTAAGAAACTGTTGAGAGTCTTACAAAGGTAAATTTATGTGAACGTTCATTTATGTGACTGGGACCATCTCTGGGGAAGATTGGTTTATTTTGCAAAAATTAAGCCCAACATAAAGTAGTACCTTCTTATTGCACCAAAGTCGTTCTTAATTAGCAGTTTTCTGGTTGGTATGTTTTATGACTATAGATGCTTTCAACTTATAAAATATTTCCTGTAACAGCTACAAGAGAGTTAATTGTCCCCTATTCTTCCGCATAGTTGTTCATAGAAAACCACAGTGTTTCTTGCTATACTTCAGTGCTATTTAACATAATAAACTTCAGATGCCTTATTGCATTTTTGTGCTATGATAACCAAGCAGGCAGAACTGTCATATTCCAGGTGGAGTCAAGGTTTATTTGGTTAGTGGGATCAGTCAGAAGATGCCTTCTGCTTGTGTGTAACATTACAGCTATAAATATACATATAAATATCACCGAAAGTGTTCTGTGCAAGTTTGGCTGTTAATTCTGTACAAAAAAAATGCATGAAGTTAACATAGGGTATCTATTAAACTTACGTGAGCAAAAAAGTAAAATTAAGGATCTTCCTATGCTAAATTCAACCTGTTTTGTGCCAGGGTTTAACAAGATCTGTGATAATAGTGTGTAATATTGCTTATGTGTGCTAAAATTTCTAGGAAATGTAGAGTCTGTCCAGGACAATGACAAGCTAAGCTTGCAATTCCCTACTAATGCAAGTCTACTCTAAACCAAAGTTACTTTAATGCAGCTTTTTAAAATAAAATTAAAAAAAAAAAAAGGTTTGACACCAGTATCTTTCTGTTTTATAATTACTGTTTATATGTTATGGCAAGTTACACATGATTCTCTTCCTCCGTACAGATATTTTTCTAAGTACTTGTTTGTCTTCGTATACAGGACCTTATCTGCTTTAGCTCACTGGTCTGCTATCTTTGGTGAGACACCATACATTCCTCTGCTAGCATTCCCATTTGTAAAATTATTCCAGAACAACCAGCTAATCTGCTTTGAAGTTGTTGCTACTGTAATAGGTAAGCAAGGATTTTTACTACACACTTAACTTATTTAGTTCCCCCAAATTTGCCTTGCTTGAAACAAAGTGGTGTGCGTGGATTCTCTTATAGGTCACTGAGGAGTTCATGTACTGTTTTAAAATGTATAAAAGGCATCCACCAGGAAGTATGATAAAATGCAGCTGTTGCAAAAAAAATCATAGCTAACAAACACAATTTAAACAGGCATATTTATTTTATCAGTATCTTTTAAGTCTAATCAGTAAAAGAACACTCGTCCAATACAATTTTGTTGTCGTGTTAATCCTTTAAATTCTGGCTTGAGACCTGGCGTGACAGTAGTCAAAAGAAATAACTGTCTCAGTTTAAAAGATTTATTGTACTAGCTGGAGTTATCAATTGATTAGGACAGCTAGCATTTAGTAACTTGGCTTCTGAAGAAAAATAGTAAATTTAAAGTATCTTTCACTGAAATTAGTCATTGCAGCTGCTGCAAAGTGCACACATAGCATATAGTTACCTTGCATAAAAACCCATTTCGCAAAATACATAGTTTGGTTGCAAAATAAGTATCCAGATTTGGTCCTAACAGGTTAAAAATATTTTGATGCTCAGTGTCCAAGCCATAAGAGCCCATTACAATGGGATTAAAAAGAGCATCTTTGAATTAAGAATATAACAATGGCCGTACTGGGTCAGACCAATGGTCCCAGTATCCTTTATTCTGACAGTAGCTAGTGCCAGATGCTGCAGAGGGAATGAACAGAACAGGCAATTTTGAGTGATCCATCCCCCGTCATCCAGGCCCAACTTCTGGCAGTTGGAGTTTTAGGGACACCTGGGGCATGAGGTTGTATCCCTGACCATCTCGGCTAATAGCCATTGATTGACCTGTCCTCCATGAACTTACCTAATTCTTTTTGGAACCATGTTATACTTTTGGCCTTCACAACATTCCATGGCAGCGAGTTCCATAAGTTGACCATGCGTTGTGTGAAGAAGTAAATATATACATTGAATAACAGATATATGTGTAATAGAAGTATTAACAGATATTATAAAACTAAACCTCTGTTTAGTGGGTCTGCAGATTATAGAACGTTGAATTTGTAAGTACTGTAATGTAAGTGTATGAATCAAAGTGGAGGGAACGTCATTTGAAAAGTAAGATGATTTCAATAGTGTGCCATCCCTCAGTGTCAGAGGGATTAAGCTACAAACGGTTTGTTTTATTCCTTTTGTAGTTAATTGGTGTCAACACTGGTTTGAGTATTTTCCTAATCCTCCAGTCAATGTCCTTAGTGTGGTGGAAAATATCTTGGCACATCATGACAAGGAATTGCTTCAACACTTAATAAATTGCAATGTGACTTCACAGGTAAAACTCCAACCTAGCTTCATAGTTTATATAAAACTGTTCATAAATGGGAGTGTTCAAATGCCTCATTTTAGTTTAAACCTTTATATGCTCATTAAATGAATTCAGAGTAAAATGTGTACTTTTAGGAGTATAAAGAACATATGATCATTTGCCTGCAGCTTATCCTGTTGCATTACATCGTATGTCTCCTTATACATGCTTTAGTACGACTTAAAGTTGCCCTTTCTTGCAATCATATAGATTCAGAAATCTAACAGGGAAAATTATAAATCCATTTTTTATATAATTTTATCTTGGTTTTTAAAATACACACAACTGTGGTGACTGAACTTAGTAAACAGACATAGTAACATAAAACAAATATTCAATTAAGCTAAAATATACAGTTAATTTATATATTAATAATTATCTAGTTACTAAGAATAATTCTAATTTGAAACATCATTCATCAGGGGTCTTTGAGTAAATGAAAGAAAAAAGGTAAGAATGAGAGAGGTAAGAAATATATTTATATAAACCACATCTAGTTCATCAGCTGCATATGGTAGGGACCTTCTCTTTGTATCTTTTGGTATAGTTCCAATGTGCTGTGTATTTACAAATAGATTAAAATCTCAACATCAGATAAGAAAGGTCCCCCTATATATTCAGATTTGTCTTCCTTTGTAATATTTCTATGATGGGAACTGAGAAGCTCTACTAATGGATTATTTTATTAATTTTCCCAATTAATTTAGCTATATGCCTGGCCTCTTCTAGAAACGTTGTTCTCTGAGGTTCTGACAAGAGAAGAATGGCTGAAAGTGTTTGATAATATCTTTTCCAACCATCCTTCATACTTTCTCATGATGGTTGCTGCCTATATCATATGTTCCAGAGCTCCTTTGCTTCACTGTAATCAAACAGAGGACTTTGAGGTAAACATCTTACTATGTAAGTCAGAGCCTTGCTACCTATATTAGGTAGGTTCAGAAAAGTATAGTGTATAATATTTATTTTTAGAGAGCTTAAAAAGAAAAGTTACAATTGAATGTTAGTTATACTGTGCCTGTTTGAGCAATGTCCTCTAGTATCTAATATATTCACTGTGGAATTAATAAAATATTACTCAATTTATTGCACTTGATTGTATGGACAGAGAGGAGTATAAAGAAACTTAAGAGCTTTCAGAAATTCTTTTGTTGCCAAGGAAAACGTTTTTGAAATTTAATGCCAAGGAAAATGTTTTTTAATATGGAAAATTCATTACCCATTAAACTATTCTTTGTTTTCTGGTTCTCTTTCTGGACATAGGATTGACATCTGTATGTTAGGACAATATAAAGTGGTTCTGGCATTTTGATGCTTCATTAATTTGCCTTCTAAAATGCAAGTACAGTGAGGCAGTCTTGGTTGACTGCCTCTCAACTAAAATGAAAATATTTTATTGTACTTCTGAAGTTATCGGGAGGATTGGGGGAAGAAAAGCATTCTTTATATGGAAAAATCTCCATTTGCAAATATTAGGGCCTAATTTTGCAGACGCACATGTGAGTAATCAATTACTCATATGAGTAAAATTATTCTTGTGTGTTCCAGAATGGATGCCATAACTCATGAGCAGAGTTGAAAGCACTTCTTATTCTTCTCTCACTAAGTATGGCAAAAAGATATATACATATGGGAGAGAGGGCAGACTAACATTCCTAGCATTTGGAGTAAAGAGAGTGGAGCAGAGGAAGTTCTTTCAGGGTTAAGTGGTTTGGGTTAAGTCAATTGAGCCATTATTTATTTATGTATTATATTAACTAGTGGTGCCAGGATGATAACAATTCTGTATGCTAAAAGCGGATTAAAAAAATAACTAATATATTTACATATCTATTGGGAAAGTGTAGTGACTTGTTTAACTTTTTGTAGGATTTAAAATGAAAAATTTTTCTTACAGTATTTCTTCCATCATCGGAACAATCTGGATATTAATGTTGTGATTAAAGAAGGCTATCATCTTATGGAAGCTACTCCAGCAGACATCCATCCACAACGTATGCTTGATGACTTCATACCACTCACAAAGGGCCAGTACCCAGTATTTAATAAATACCCCAGGTTTATTGTGGATTATCAGACTCAGGAGCGAGAGAGGATCAGACAGGATGAAATAGAATACTTACGAGAAAGGTATTCATGGGAAAATAGAAGGAAACCTTAAAATTGGGAGAGGGGGTAGATATCTGTTGGATTTACTGGAAACTGGAGTGATGCTAGGGGTGCCAACTTTTGAATCGCACAAAACCGAACACCCTTACCCTACCCCAAGACCCCACTCCTTCTCTGAGGCCCCCACTGACTCCATTCACCTTCCCTCCGTTGCTTGCTCTCTCCCACCCTCACTCACTCATTTTCACGGGGCTGGGGCAGAGGGTTGGGATGCGGGACGGGGTACAGGCTCTGGGGTGGGGCCAGAAATGATGGGTTGTGTGGGGGGTGAAGGTTCTGGCTGGGTGGGGGGGGGCGAGCTCTGGGGTTGGGCTGGGGTGAGGTTTTGTGGTTTAGGAAGGGGTTCCAGGCTGGGGATGAGGGGTTTGGCGTGCAGGAGGGGGCTCAGGGCTGAGGCAGGAGGTTGGGCTGTGGGAGGGGGTGCAGGCTGTGGGCTCCAGGAGGGAGTTTGGGTGTGGGATAGGGCTCAGACTGGGGTAGGGGGTTGAGGTGCACTCCAGGTGGCGCTTACCTCAGGCAGCTCCCAGGAAGCAGCTGGCATGTCCCTCTGACTCCCTGGTGGAGGTGTGTCCAGGCGACTCTGCATGCTGCCCCCGCACGCAGGCGCTGCCTCCGGAGCTCCCATTGGCACGGTTCCTGGAGCAGGGGCAATGCGCGGAGGCCCCGTGGCCACCTAGGAGCTGGAGAGACATGCGGGCCGGTTCCCGGGAGCCATGCAGAGCTGGCCATGGAGCCTGCCAGCCCCATGCCAACTGAACTTTGAATGGCCCATTCAGCGGTGCTGACCAGAGCTGCCAGGCTTCCTTTTTGACTGGGTGTTCCAGTAGAAAACTGGACACCTGGCAACCCTAATGAAGACTAGAAAAAGGGAAATGTATGTGCTTGGAAAAGGATAGGATGGTTAGAGGAATAGAAAAAAGTGGATTTACACCTTACCTTTTGATGTCTCTGTTTGGCTTGTTGGATTTTTTAGTTAGATGGATTAGCCGGCATTAATTGCTGCAAGTAACGTTAAACTTAAAATCAACGTGTTTGTTTAATTCTCTGAAAACACCTAGGTCAAAATTTTCAAACTTGAGTGCTAAAGTGAGGTAGCTAAATCCACTTAAGATGGCAAAGTAGAAGTGATCTGGCTTCCAGAGATGCGGAGAATTCTCTGCTCTACATTGAAATCAGCAGGAAATGTGGATTTTCAGCACCTCTGAAAATTAGGTCAGTTTCACTTAACCATCTGAATAAGACCTTTAGTGCCTGACTTCAGTCACCCAGGTTTGAAAATTTTGATTTTAGCGATAAGCCATTTTATAGTTAAACTAATCTGAAATTCTCTTCCCAATAGAAGGCAGCTGCAAAATGTTGTTTGAGTAGCTAAATGTCTTCAACAGCCTGAGAAGTGCTAGTGTCGATTATGGCACTTGAAGGGTACGATTGCTTTTACCATCTGTGAAGCTGGAAGCTATGTAAGCCAATCAGCTTCATCCTCTTGCCATAATTCTCATTTTCTATTGTAGATCTCTCTCTTGCGCTATAGCCAATTTACTTTAGAAGACATGGTTCAAACTACTTCATCACTGGGCAATTTGAGCATAGACATAGCTTTTATAATGATCTTAATTAATATTTTTCCAATATATGACCAGCAGTTTTTACTACCTGAATAATTTCTTGAAATCTATTTTGGTTTCTATGGTAATATATAAAAAAAATTTATTCAGACAGTTAGTTCATGAAATAGAAGCTAAAGCAGTACAGCGAAAAGTAGAAGATGAGGCCTGGTACCGGAAGCAAGAGCTGCTTCGTGAGGCTGAAGAACAGAGGAGAAAAATTCTGCTGCAAGAAGAGGAAAAATTGGCAGATCAAAGACAGAGGTAGTAGTAGTAGTATGAAGCATGGCTATAACACCGTGCTATTAAATCTTTTATCACAAGTAGGGACAGAGATGGCCACTATTTTGTTCAAATTGAAATGTGTGGAAGCAGTGAGGTCTAGTGGGTAGGGCATTGGACTGGGAATCTGGCAATCAGGATTCTGTTCCTGGCTCTGCCACTGACCTGCTGTGTGACCTTCGGCAAGTCACGTAATCTCCAGTCCCACTTTTTCTCTTCCCAAACAGCTTATATACCTGCCTCTTTAGACTATCTTTCACTATGTGTTTGTGCATTGGAGCTTCAAGTTCAGTTGTTGCCTTTAGCTGCTACTGTGACAGAAGTTATTTATATTAATGAGGGTGCATATTCTCAAATTTCTATTGGAGTTAAGAATTTTTCTTTTAATTACCTACCAAGTCCTAATTTATAATGTAGAAAGAGTCTATAAACTTTGAGATTATAAACTGTGAGAGAAATTCAAGATCCCCATGAGGATTCTTTTTGTAAAGGGGGATTTTTTTTTTAGACCCATAAAATTTACACACTTTTTTTTTTTTTTAATTGAGAGCTGCGGATTAAAGGAGTTAAGTGACTTTCCTTATCTGCTAATGAATGAGGAGTACAATTCTGGTCAAGAGGTGGTGTAATATTGTGAAATTCTCTCAACAAACTAAAGTGCCCTTTTTGTTTTTTCAGTTAACACCAATAGTTATAGAGTTGATGGGACTTCTGTGGGAAATGGGGAGAGAGTGCCACTCTTTGGATTTAAGTTTGTCTTATAACAATGCAGTTTTTATTTCCAAAACAAAACTATGATGTCAAAAGTGTTAGCAGTTAAAGAGAGTAGTTTGTGACAGGTAATGGTTAGCTATTATGGAACATCACACTCATCCGTGTCAGCTTTCCACCAGTAGTAGTTTATTTGTTCCTATTTCATTTTTGCCTTGAAGACTAGCAGCTGTGAAAAGAGAGTTGAAAGTAAAGGAACTGCAGCTATTGGATGCTGCAAGAAGCCGTTTCCTGAAGCATCAGCAGGATCAGCGTCAAATGGAGCTAAAACGTCTGGATGATGAAATTGCAAGAAAGGTTTGTTTTCCTCATCTAATCAATATTTCCTCCAATGTTTATTAAGAGAAGTAAACAAGAAAAAATTCATAACTTATGATAGGTAATGAAAACAGTTGTAGCATGTTTTGTGAAACAAGATGTATTTAGAAGTTGGGTGGGTGTCTGATTCATTCATATTTATATAGTTTAATTTGGCACCTGTTGCTGTCCACATGGTTTACTTAAATTAGCAAAATTTCCTGAGAAAAGCCAGATTGATCCAAATGTTGGCATTGCTGAAAAATGAAGTGAGCTGCCTAAGGTTCTAAACCTACTGGCTGGAGTATTTTTAAATGTGTGTGTATGCAGTAAAAGGAAAGGAAAGATGGTGGTATAGGAAAAACAACTTTTCCATTTTGGGGTTTTTATGTGTATATTTCTTTCCTCCAGGTGTCCATGAGAGAGCGAGAAACAGCTGCTACTGTTCAAGATGTAGAAGTGCGGCAAATAGAACTTGAATCCCAAAGACAGCTTTTTGAACAGGTATATGGCAGTGAACTACATACAGTCTCTTGGGCTTTTTTCTATTTATTTTTTGTTAAACTTTTTTAAAATATGTATACAGAAAAAACAAATTATACATAAACTTCTCAAATATATTAACCATTTGCTACCGAACCTTAGCTATACTTGCAATACTGAATTATAGATAATATGAATGCTTAAAATATAAATGAATTATTTGTATTGCGTAACTTACAAACAAACATTTGTTTATAAAAATCCAACTAGTTAAAGTATTGAAATAAGATAAAGAATAGAAGCAAAGTTCAGAGGAGGGGGGATAGAGACTGGGAGGGAAGGAAGTAGAGAGGAAGGAGAGGCAAGTGGGTGGGACCCGTGCATTTAGCTGGATCATTCAGATACTTCCAGGAAAGCATCCCATGTTTCTGAGAATTTTTCTTGGGTATTTGTTACCATATACAATTCTTTCCTTGGTGGCCAAGTTTACAGTGTCTATGCTCCAGTCTTCAAATGCTGGTCGTTTTTTGGATTTCTGTTGTTGTAGTACGAATCTTAAGTAATTGTAAGTGCTCTGCTGAGCCAATGTTTTTTTCAGATGTATTCAGCTTCCAATCAACGTACATTAGGTTTTAGTTTTTAATACAGTTTTATTTGATAGGAAAAAATTCACTGAAATTAAGTTCTTCCCAAAACACACAGGTATAGGAGCATTCTTAGAGCATGTGGGCTAAGTGTGCACCTGCTGAATCACAGTGCAACTTTTTTTTGACTTAGCGCTACCTGTTTTGAATAGTTGGAGTAGGGTCAAGTGCATCCTCCATGTGATTTTTCTGCTGGATTAATCTTAAATGGAGGTCCAAGGAACAGTTCAGAGCACTGACTAAAATTTGTTTTCATTGGTTAGCAGAGAATAATTGGCCTAGTTCCTTCTCCCATTTCTTTTTTAGGGAATCTGTGTTTAATTCAAATTTGCAGGCCAAGTGTGCATATGATGTTGCCATAGTTCTTGGCAATCCAGGTAATATCTGGAGAAATGACAGCAGTTCAGGTGGGTCATGGGTGGCGCAGGCATCGGGGCCAAACAGATCAGAGATGGCATGTTTAAGTTGGATATATTGCCACTCTTTCTTAGTCTCTAGGCTGAACCTCCCTTTTGATATTGTAAAAGGGAGGAAGGTATCATTTGTATTAAATTGACTGATGGTCAGAATCCCTTTCCTAATCCAGTCTGGCCAAATGATGGGGTTGCATGCTATACAGAGTTTCGCATTACCCCAGATAGAGGCCCTGGTATGTAGAAGGGGGTGCCTGTTAAATTTAGTAGACATAATATGCCAATTATTTTTGACTGACACAATAGTTTGGTAATTGCTCTTTAGGGAATCGGTAGTAATCTGAGTGCAGTGCATTGGAAAGGGGTAAAGGAGCAATGAATTCTGCTTCTAGCTGGAGACAACCTAAGGTTCTACACCATGAGGGAATGAGCCACTATGCTGCTTGACTAAGAATTATTGTCTGGTAAAGTTCAAAGCTGGGAAATCTAAAACCACGTGTTTTGACAGGGAACTGTAATCTGTGTAGGAGATTCTGGGTTTGTTACCAACACCCCACAAGAAGGACCTGAACATGGTGTTGGTTTTGGTAAAATAAAAGGGAAGAATATGGAATTCAGAATAAAAAGGATCTTGGGAAGAGCATTCATTTTGATTGTTTATTTTTTCCCAAAGTGAGAGAGAGAGAGTGCCTGCCATCTATTTAAACTGTTGGTTAACTGCATGATTAATGGGGCTAGATTAACCTTGACTATGCTTTTAATTTCCTTAAGGAACAGGTACCAAGATATCTGAAGTTTGTCTGTTGCCATCTAAGGCTTTATGTACACTGGACTTTCGTCAGTAAAACTTTTGTCGTTCAGGGGAGTGAAAAAAGCACACAGACACCTGAACGACAAAAGTTTTACCAACAAAAAGTGCCGATGTGAACAGCGCTTTGTCAGCGAAAGAGCTGTCCTGCTGACAAAGCTGACGCTGCTCATTGGGGGTGGAAGTTTTTTGTCTGCAGGAGAGCTCATTCCTGCCAACAAACAGTGGCTACACCGCGCACCTTTTAGCGGCATGGTTGAAGCAGCACAGTTGTGTCGCTAAAAGGCGCGTAGTGTAGACATAGCCTCAATGTCCCTATAGGAGAGCCACTTCCAACTAGATCCAGTGAGCTCTTCATTGCTTCTGACTTATCCCAATTTATCTTCTAGCCAGAGAGTTTACCAAAGTTATCTATTGTTTGTGGGATATTTAGAATAAACTTGTTTTGAATGGTTGTTCCTTTGCAGTTCCCAAATTCCATATTATTGCTTTGGCCAGATTGGGGGGAGGGAGGCGAGAGAGAGAGAGAGGCCTCTTTCTTTAATTTTTTTAATTTGATTCTTTAATTAATTTAATCAGTGGCACCTCAGGACTGCTTCTTTGTGCCATTTTTTTCTTCATGTACATACAAATATAACTTGGTTGTTACAAGTTGCATCTGCACACTTGGTTGAGGAGGATTACTGAGGAAAAAGTTACCATCAGTAGAAATGAGTCTAAAAGTAATGCTGTTCCTCTTTGCAACTCCTGTGTTAGTCTATAGTATCTTGATGTTTACTGAAGCAATCCGTGTAATGCAGTGATACTCAGACGTCAGTGGTTCAGGAGCTAAATTAGTGATCAATATTACGCAAAAGAGCCACAGTAGTGTGAATTCATTGTTGCATTTACTATAGTACTATATATTCATATTTAAACAGTATGACCGGGGAAATATTTAGTTTTTATATATATAATTCTCACAGCAAAATGACTGACCAAGTATTATTATTTTATCAATTACAATTGGTTAATACCATAGTAAAAGCATCCTGATTGGTTAATAACTTAGATCACTTAATAATTAAATTACAGAGTCCTTTTCATACCATGTGCGGCAAAAAGCCACAGGAGACACATTAAAGAGCCACTTGCGGCTCTCAAGCCTCAGCCTGAGTATCAAATTGTCAAATAGCATTATTTTTTTAAAAAAAGGGATGGGGAAATGTTTATGGAAAAGGAGTGTTTTTCTTCATTAGTACTGTTCATAAAGCAGTTTCTGTTCTGTAATCCTGCTATAAAAATCAGAAAAGAACTCTACTGGGTTTTAGAATATTTCCTGCTTAAAGATAGAAAGTCAGTTTCGCATGACGAATGGCTTCCCGCCTGTTGAGAAGTGCTGCTGCCAGCGGGTAGCTTTAGAAATGCCAACTTTAGTTACAAAGATTGAGCCAGGTTTTCAAAATCCACCTGTGCCCATCTCGAACACCTGCAAAGCCCAACTTGCATGCACACAAGTGGACTTCTGAAAAATCTGACCAGTTATTTTCAAATGCACCTTCACATCACTTGTATGTGATTAAAAAATGCTTCTTGCCATATATTTCAAAATCTGTGCTGAGCACAATGGGGTTAACTGTCTTTAAGGGTTCGCTTATTAAATATACAGTCAGCTGCAGTGTGGGTATTGTGGCTACGCAACACAAACCAGTCTAAACCTATTTATACTCAGTAACTGTAAAGTCAGCAGCTGAAGGAATTAGTCTTATAATGATCAGGACCTTTAGGATAAGGGGGTAGTGCTTATTTAGCTAATTGATCCATTTTAGAAAAGGGTACGGAGAGTCAGGATTTCTAGCTGTGCTACTGACTTGTATGGCCTTTAGCAAATAATTTAATTTCTCTGTGCCCTAGTTTACCATCGAGATAGTGGATATGATGATATCTCTGTATCTCGTATTGGTGCTGTGAAACTTAATTAAAATTTGAATTATTTTGAGATCCTTGGATAAAAGGTGCTGTAGATGTACAACGTATTTACAATGGGCCTGGTTCATCATGATAGTATTCCAGCTTTACATTGGGGTAATTCTACTAAAGTCCATTGAATGGAGTTATGTCAGTATAAACTTCCAGGTGCAGCGTATATGTTAATATAGAGTGGATAAAGCAATGTGAGGGAGGGAGATACTTATGGTTGGTTATGAAATATGTTAGGGTGGGGTGTATCTGATATCCTTGGACATGTTCGTTTCTGCACTGAAGTTTTCAATATGAAAAAGCCGTAATTATCTTTAATGTATAGCATTAGCTTAATTATTGTATTTTTATGCACAACTGTTTTTACAGCAACTTGTCAAAGATCAAGAGACAGTGACACAGGAAGTAAAAGGAGAGATAGATGCCAGTCGAAGAAGGGCTGATCTTGAAGAACATCTAGTTCAGAGGTTGATAGAAGTTAATCAGGATGAGGACCGTAAAGCTCAGATGGTAAGAAAATGGATTTAACTTGTATATTTGGAAGGAATGCCTCTTCCTGCAAACAAGCATTAAAATCTTTCAAAGAAAAAGAATCCTCATTTTTCCTGACAACTATACTTACTACATTTTGACCTTATGCAAAGAATCCCACTTTAAGTGCTGTTCAGACAGTTGGAGTATATTGAAGTCCTGCTAGGCATGGCTTGCGTGAAAGCCCTCCTTTGTTTTCCCAGAGACTGGAAGACATATGAGAATTAGCATGATCCTTCTAGTAGATATTGCTGGTTCCCAGGTTATCTTTCTGTCAAGAATATTGGATCTCATGGCCACAAACATCTGGGTTTTGGTTCTTTGTGGTCACTAGTGATGCTTCCTAAAGACTTAGATGGAATCAGCAGGCAATTTAACTATAGACATTGACTTCCAAATTACAATACTCAACAGATGCATCCAGCTTGGCATTATGAGCTTGTTTGGGTTTCCAAGCTCAGAACTCTTAGCAGCACAATTGAAAGACAGTTGAAGCTTACCCACTGTCCCAGTGCTTAGCTTGTCTCTGTAGTTTGTCCAGAAATAATCATATATGTCTTAATTTTTTTTAATCTGCCTTCAATTTTGTGGGTGCAGTTGACTGTGGGTAGAAATGGTAGTATTTAGGTGTCTGATTTAATTGTACTTGCAGATCAGGTAAATATTTAAATGTTAGCAAAATGGCACCCCTAAAATATTTGAGGTTCAGTTAAGTCTTCTTTAAAATATGCCCATGTATAAATAAGAAGATAGCAGAGGTGAGAGATAAGCAAAGGGAGAGACTTGTAAAGAAACAATTTGCTGTAGTGCATAAACGGGAGTTCTACTGCAGCGATAATTCTCTGGAACCTATTGCTGGTAGAGATCTTTAACAATGGCTGTGAAATAAATTTAAGTTTGAATGGAGAACGTTGTTCTTGATCTGTAATCGGATAGTGTGCTAAAGTTAAAGTAAGTGCGTTTGGCTGATCACTTTTTCTTAGCTGGCTGAAGAAAGTTTAGCAAAAGCTGATCAGAAGTGCATCGACACAGACTGGAGAATCCAAGCCTTGTATAAACAAAGATGTGATGATCTAGACCGTGAGGCACATTACGAAGAGATAGCTAAACTTCTTCATGACAACAGAGTAAAAGAAGCAGAGTTGCTAAAAGCAATGAAGGAAGAGCAGGATAAAAGGGTAAGCGTGTCTTTGCATTTCTGGGGAGATGACGTGCAAAAGAGAAAAAGTATGTGGCTGCGGCATGGTGCAGAATGAAAAGTCAAAAGGGTTTTACCAAAAAAGTGTCCCCCCAACATTTGTTTTTCCCCTAATGTCTTTTCCCTGATTTTGCTGGTCAACTAACAGTGTATAGCTAGACTCAACGTTTTTCCTAGTCTAGACCCAGAATAATATCTTCTACCTCCCTTTACCTGCTTCAAGAGGACCCTGGTGGGCATCAGCAAAAGCTCTTCTCAAAAGTAGAAAACATTAACTCAGTGTCTTACAGCACTTTTTTGTGTTAAATGAATGATGGTATGTAATTGTAAATCATTCAAATGGCTTTCTGTGAAGCTTGCTTTTTGCATGTTGCACTTCTATTGAAAATGTACTGAAATGTGTCTGTTGTATAGTGGGAAGAAGTTACAGAGAAAAGAGCTCAACTGGAAGCAGAGCAGCTAGCTGTCGCTGCTTTGGACGCAAGGAGGAAGCAGTTCTTAGAAGATGAAATGAACGATGCAATAGACCTCGCTGAAAAGCTACAATGTGAAGATGGCTATTTTGGTGAGCATACAGTAGTACTTCCATCTACAGTGTACATGATGTGGATATTACACTAACTCATCTATGTAAATATATTTACCAATATCATAAAAATGTAGGACTGGAAGGGACCTCGATAGGTCCTCTAGTCCAGTCCCCTTCACTGAGGCAGGACTAAGTATTATCTAGACCAGACTATTGTACTGGTGATCCCTTTCACACAGCAAGTCTCTGAGTGCAACCCCCTTATAAATTAAAAACACTTGTTTATATATTTAACACCATTATAAATACTGGAGGCAAAGCAGGGTTTGGAGCGGAGGCTGACCGCTCGCGACCCCCCATGTAATAACCTCCAGACCCCCTGAGGGGTCCTGACCCCCAGTTTGAGAACCCCTGATCTAGACCATTCGTGACAGGGGGTTGTTTAACCTGTTCTTAAAAACCTCTAATGATGGAGATTCCACAACCTCCCTTAGATAATTTGTTCCAGTGCATAACTACCCTTACAGTTAGGAAGTTTCTCCTAATGTCCAACATAAACCTCCATTGCTGGAATTTAAGCCCATTACTTCTTGTCTTGTCTTCTGTGATGAGCAGAACAATTTATCATCCTCCTCTATATAACAACCTTTTATGTACCTGAAGACTGTTATCATATCCCCCCTCAGTCTTCTCCAGACTAAACAAACCCAATTGTTTCAAGTTTTCCTTGTAGGTCACGTTTTCTAGACCTTTAATCATTTTTGCTACTCTCCTCTGGCCTTTCTCCAGTTTGTCCACATCTTTCCGAAAGTGTGGTGCCCATAACTGGACACAGCACTCCAGTTGAGGCCTTATCCGTACTGAGGAGATTGGAGGAATTTCTTCTCAAGTCTTGCTTACAACACTCCTAATATATCCCAGAATGATATCCAGTTTTTATGCAACAGTATTACATTGTTGACTCACATTTAGCTTGTGATCAACTGTAACTCCCAGATCCTTTTCTCCAGTACTCCTTCCTAGGGAAAAACAACGAGGAGTCCTTGTGGCACCTTAGAGACTAACAAATTTATTTGGGCAGTCATTTTCCATTTTGTATTTGTGCAGTTGATTATTCCTTGCTAAGTGTAGTGCTGTGCATTTGTCCTTATTGAATTTCATCCTGTTTGTTTCAGACCATTTCACCAGTTTGTCGAGATCTGTCGAGATCATTTTGAATTCTAGTACATGCCAGATATCCGTCCATAAGACTGACAAATAGGGCCAAACTTTTAAAAGAACCTCTATTTGTTCTCTTCCATCAATTCCAAACACAAATAACATTTAGAAGCTAACTTACTTCTGTATGTAGTTAAGAATCTAAATTCTGCAACTGGCACCCACAGTTGATTTCCACCCATAAAACTGAAGACCATTTTTAAAAAAAATCAACCGCTACTTTATATTGTTTTAAAATCTTTGTTGGGTGTGTGAATAAACGGAAGGAGAGGGGGTAGTGTGCTTTAAATTTTCATTGAACCAGAAACTTTCAATTAACTACTAGTCATCTACTGTCGTGAGAGATGGTGACAGTGGTGGTTTCCCATTATATAAAATATTTTACATAAATATACAAGAAGTTTCTCTGCAGGTTTTACTTCTTCCATCCCAGCATCAGATTGTTTTCAGACAGAAGAACCAGCAATGTTCCCTTCTCACACCATTAATACAGTTTCAGTTTAATTCTTGACTTTGCCGTCTCCTCTTACTGCCCATTGCGAGTGGACGGGGACAGACCTTAGGCATATAGAGTGCAGACTCCATAGCATAGTCTATATATAGTTAGAGGATACAAAACATAATACCAAATTGCTCATTTTGCCTTTGTTCCTTTCACAACTGTGGTGTATGTGTACAAATATGTCTTTCCTTTGCCACTGGGATTTTGTAAATTCCTAGAAATTGGAGTTGGAAAATATCCGTTAAATCATCTAATCCTAAATCAAAGCAGGATTGTTCCCTATGGTGGATTTACCCATCCAACTCTTTGCTCAGCATGATGACGTTGAAAAGCTTAAAAAAAAAAAAAAAAAGTACTGTACTTTAGAGGCACTCTAAAATTAAGTGGTATAATAGAGCACTGTTTAATATCTCCAGAAATTTTTGTAAAAAGTTTGTTCTTCCTTCACTGTTTAAAAAACTCTTGAGAGAGAAACACCAACAAAATGATCAGGCCCCACCCCTTATTATCTTCTACACAGATACACTCGCACAAAGTTTGTCCAAGTGAGGTCACAACGGTAGCTTGCGGAAGTGCCTAATTCACATCATGTGAACTAAACTGCAGTTGTCTTAGTCTTCTTACTCAAGGTGCCATCCACTAAGACGACAAGTGCCAGTATGCAATATTCTACCTTAGTGGCCCATTTGTCATCAGCTTAGTCGTATTTTAAAAAATATTGCATTGTGGGACCTATAGTTTCTGAAATTTAGTAAAAATGTGTGGTCTTGACCCCACAGACTGACAGTTTGTGTTATGCATTTTCCAATCCCTACTTAATTGGAGCTGCCTGCACACTAAATCTAAGGCCAGGTCTTCTAGATGGCAAGCCAGGTGCAAATCTACAGCATGCCACCTTGCCATGCAGCAATATCCCATGTGAATACTGCTATGCCCGGTGAAAGTCCCAGAGTGCAGTTTAGCCTACCATGCTTTCTAGTAGTATGCTATGCTGCACTCCAGGACTCTGGCTGCACTGTTGCAGTGTTCACGTGGGACATTACTTTGTGGCAAGGTGGCACTCATTAGATTTGCACCCTGACTTGCCATGTAGTAACTCACTGTGAAGACATGGTCGTAGATTTAGTGTGCAGGCAGCTCCAATTAAGTAGGGATTGAAAAATGTGGCTTTTAGTAAACATTAGCTATTAAATTCTTACAGTTTACAAAGAAACTTCTCTCCATTTCCCACAGAGAGATTGCGTGATTTGAAGACTGGGTGTGTACAGCAAGATTTAAAATTCCAGCAGGTGCCGAGGGAAGCTCAACCCAAGTCAGGATATGTCTGTCTAAATGACTTATCTACAGCAGAGTCCTCAGCACACTGTAAGTTGCTAAACTTCAGAATAATCTTTCTCTCACTTCTAATTTTGGAAGCATTACCCAGGCACCAAGGTGGGTGAATCAGTCTTTCATAAATGTACAAATTTATTTTTAATTGATTTCACACCTGAAAAATCCCTTTAAAAACAGTATTGTGAAGGCAGTAGGCAACTCAACTCTGCCAGATTATGAGAGATGCCTCTTGTGTTAGACCCAGCTATATCTCCACCCCATAGTTGTGTGGGATTTGCATTTGTATCTAGAGCTTAAACACCGTTACATAGCTCTCTGTGGCTTTTGGGAGTGGAGAAAATGTAGAATTACCTATCATTCAAATCATCTTGGGAGGACTCATTTGTTCTGGTCAATAACTAGTCTCTAATTATCTATTCTGGGCTATCTCTGCTTCTACAGCCAATGAAAATGCTTGTTAAAAGCTATTCTTTAGTTTGAGGAACAGCCGTGTTAGTCTGTATTCGCAAAAAGAAAAGGAGTACTTGTGGCACCTTAGAGACTAACCAATTTATTTGAGCATGAGCTTTCGTGAGCTACAGCTCACTTCATCAGATGATGAAGTGAGCTGTAGCTCACGAAAGCTCATGCTCAAATAAATTGGTTATTCTTTAGTTGTACATCTTATTGGTGAAATCCTCCTGACACTACAGGAAACCTTAATACCTTTGAAACTTTAATAGTGCTTTAGCTTCTCCATTTGCCACAAAGTACAGTATAGTAATGATACACTTTGCAAAGGACCTAAAAGAACCCCATGGAAGTCGGAGTTGCTCTCCACTTGCAGTATTTAGAGCTGTCTCCTTGATAATCAAGGGACTGAATGAAGGAATAGAAGTGCAGTAATTGTCTTGTTATATATTAAAGACAAAGCCCTGCAGTATTATTCTCCAACAAGAAATAACTTTGTACCAGTTTAGTCATGAAAAAACTGAATCCCATACAGGAGGTCAGACTAGATGATCATGATGGTCCTTTCTGAACTTAAAGTCTATGAGTCTGAATCTTTTTAATGGTTAGTTGCAATATTAATTCTGAGCCTCTTTCATTTCTAGTTTCTTTAGATAGAAGACGAGAAGAACTGGAATGCAGAGAACGGGAACTGATGGCAGAAGTCAGAGGGCTCAGGCAAAAACTTACTTCACAGGCCCGAGCTACATATCCGCTACCTCATTTTCCAGACACAAAGTGGACCACTTAAGAAAGCACACTTTATACTTTAGCAGTAACTTATTAATCACTGGAATTCTAAATAGTTATGTTGTGATCAAAGAAACTGATTTTTAGATTATTTATTATAAATGCTTTTGGAAATACTTTTGTATATAAAAATAAAATACTAACTAGAAATGTTATAGTTGCACACTTCTGATTGTTCTGTCCATAATGACACTTCATTCTTGATTTTTTAAAAAAATAAACGTACTTTTTTTTATTGCTGAACCACTGAATAGTCAATATTTGAGTACAAGGCATATTCTGATTACACCAATTCCCTGAAAAATCAAAGCACTGTTAAAATGATTTATTTGTCAATAGTGTTTAATGGGAGCCTCTTTTGTAATCATTTTAATGTTTTCCATCTGTCTGTTATCTGGTACAGTCAACCCGTGGAACTGCTTGCCAAGGAGCAGTCGTGAAGGCCAAAAGTATAACTGTGTTCAAAAAAGAATTAGATAAATTCATGGAGAATCGGTCCATCAGTGGCTATTAGCCAAGAAAGTCAGGGATGCAACCCCATTCTCTGGGTGTCCCTAAACCTCTGACTGCCAGAAGTTAGGACTGGATGACGGCTCACTCGATAAATTGCCCTGTTCTGTTCATTCCCTCTGAAGCATCTGGCATCAGCCACTGTTGGAAGACAGGATACTGAGGTAGATGGACTATAGGTCTAATCCAGTATAGCCGTTCTTACGGTGCATTCCAAATGAGGTAAAGGTGATCTAAAAGTAAAACTAGATATAGTGACCAGATCCTTAGCTCCTGTAAATCATCTGATGCTCCACTGATTTTGATGGTGCTAAAATGATTTAATCCCAGATGTGGATTTTGCCCAGTATAGGAGTTGGAACATCATGTAGAAGCTGTAATATGAGGAATAAGAAATGAAAGTAAAATGTCAGATGTTTTTGAAAATTCTAAAGCTGCCAATGTATAGTGATTTAGAATCAATTTCTTAAACAAAATTAGTATCCATAGCTTAGCTAGTCAAAATAAATATGTGGGCCTGGAAACTGAGTTGCTCATTCTCTGTGCTGAGGACTGAAGTTTCCTGTATCCATCTACTCTATCTCAGCTAGCCACTTGTTTCTGCCGAAAATATTTCTCTTCATGTTTGAGAGCAAAGAGTAAACAGTCTTAAAGTCCTCAAAGCAGCAATTTCCCAAAGGCTGAGTAACACAATTTAAATTTCAAAATGGAAAAAATGCTGTAGCTCAAGTGCTGTTTCTCTTATATATATATTCCACTTTTAGTGTGCGTGCACTCGAGGTTGGAATCTTTTGGCCAGTAATGTCTGTTAGGGCCACAACTGCATCATGAGTGCTTTCATATCTCCCACCCAATGGCATAAAGGGCAGAGTGGGGCCAGCCAACCCTCAGTTCCTTCTTGCCTGTGGGTGTGGGGCAGAACTGAGAGCAGTGGCTGTGTCTCTTACATATTTGCAATAAAACTGATATTTTCATACATACTTACAATTTAGTGTAGGTTTATATTGGAATTGGAAAAGGTTCAGAAAAGGGCAACAAAAATTATTAGGGGTATAGAACGGCTTCCGTATGAGGAGAGATTAATAAGACTGGGACTTTTCAGCTTGGAAAAGAGGAGACAAGGGGGGGATATGATAGAGGTCTATAAAATCATGAGTAGTATAGAGAAAGTAAATAAGGAAGTGTTATTTACTCCTCATAATACAAGAACAAGGGGTCACCAAATGAAATTAATAGGTAGCAGGTTTAAAACAAACACAAAATATTTTTTCACACAGCGCACTGTCAACCTCTGGAACTCCTTGCCAGAGGGTGTTATGAAGGCCAATACTATAACGGGGTTCAAAAGGGAGCTAGATAGATTCATGGAAGGTAGGTCCATCAATGGCTATTAGCCAGGGTGGGCAGGAATGGTGTCCCTAGCCTCTGTTTGCCAGAAGTTGGAATTAGGTGACAGGGCATGGATCACTTGATGATAACCTGTCTGTTCATTCCCTTTGGGGCACCTGCCATTGGCCACTGTCAGAGGACAGGATACTGGGCTTGATGGACCTTTGGTCTGATCCAGTATGGCCGTTCTTATGTTAATAGTTCGATAGTCAGCTTAGGACAGTTTTTGTTAGGTGTCCATTCCAGGTAGGGTTTTTTTTAATGGTTTTAGCATTTATGGCTGAGCAAAAATCACCAGCATTCAAATATTGTCCTTCATACTAGGTGAATGCTCCTCAGTGATGACAATATATGTGCCTGTTTAGTTTGAATGAGGGGCATATCACTGACAAATGCTCCATTTATCAATTATTTTCTAAAAATCCAAAAAGGGAGGGAAACTGGCTTAAAGCTTTATCCGCTGGGCAAATTGGAGACCAGCTTCTGACCTAGGTAAATAAGATCTACCCACATCTCCAGCAGAAGTGCTCCAGTGACTGCATGCTATAACTTCCTCTAACGCTTCCGTTCTTGAAAAGCACTCCTATGCTCCTAACACTTCTGAGCCCACTTCATCAGCAGAAGGAGTTAGGATGCAGCACTGCTCTTCTGAAGTGCCGGAGAACAGGTCTTCGTGTTAAGAAAAGGCTTAGATCACCTCATGTCTCCTCTGAAGCTCAAGGGTAGAATAATGCCGGACTTAGGCCTTTCTGGCACCTGAAAATACTGGTACTAGCTAAGGAGCACCCACAAGCAGCCTCTATACTGCCTCTACGGCACCGCCTGCTGAGCTCTTGGTGCCAGAGCTTCTCTCTTTAGTACTCATAACCTTGGTACCAATCTTGTCAGCACAGTTTATTCTGATACCACGTCCTCAGAATGGCTGCTCATGCTACAGTCTCAACACCAAGATTCATATCTCTGGAAGATCTAGCAATGTCCTTCTCCCTTGAGTCACTACTACTACTGTTGGTAGTAAACATTCCTCCAATGATACCCAGTGCCAAAGAAGTATCCATGGTCAGTATGTCTGCAGTACCAATGAAAAAGAGTTTTGCAGTTCCTGGGTTTCCATCTGTCACCGCCAGTAGAGGTGCCACATTATTCCTTTTTTTTTCATTGGCATCAGATAATAGGGAAGTTCATCTACCTACTCTCTAAGATCCCTCTCATATGGCCCCTATTCATCTAACAGGGAATGTAGAGTTCATGATCACTATAGTCAAAATATGAGCTATAGACAAATATTTCTCCTGGTACAAAAGCCCTCCTCCCCAACTTACTTTTCTTACAGCCCTCATTCCTGGCTGTATTGAGCACCATGGTGCTTCCACCAGGCTAGGAAATCATCCTTCCTGGCCCCCACAAGACCTAAAGCTCCCTCCCCAGTAGGGTCTATCAGAGTCCAACAACAATAGCCACCCCCAAATGGAAATTGCTGATCCTCAGCTATTAATTATTTGTATTACCATAGCATCTAATTGCTTGTCTCTAATGAAGAAATAAATCCGCCACCTGAACTGCTCCCACTGCCATCTTGTCATCTTCACCTTATGAAGCTGTGGGTCCTGTATGCTCCATCACACCCTGACAACTACAACGTCTTTCAAGACCACCTTTGTTGAATGGCAGAAACCTTAGGATTCCAGTTGAGGTAGTGCAGGAGAAGTCCCAAGAACTATTGGACACCTTGCCCAACTCTATGCCAGACAGACTGGCTATGCCAGTAAATGAGGAACTATTAGAACCTGTACAGTTCTGGCAGAAAACTGCATCTATTCCGCCAACATCTATAAAGACAAACGAAGTAGAAGGTGCCATCTTTGGGGTTTGAGTGCCTTTAAACTCATCCCACACTTAGATCTCTTGTTCACTGTTCAGAAGAGAACAAAACAACAAAGCTCTAAGCAACATGTACAGAAAAGGAGCCCAAATGTCTAGATATTTTTGGATGGAAGAGTTACTCTCTCTGCCAGCCTCCAGTTTAGGATTGCCAATTACCGGGGACTCCTTGCCAAGTATGATTACATAAATTGGAACTAGGATTCGGACTTTACAGACAAATCTCCACAAGAGTCAAGAGAAAGAATTAAGATCCTTAATTGCAGAGGGTCAGTTAACCTCAGACCTCCTTACAGGCAATGATTGATATGTCGGGTCCTCCAAAGAGATCACGGACAACAGCAGTGACAATGATATGGGCATCGTGGTTGCAATCCTCGGGGATCCCCAAAGACATATGAAGTACAGACAATCTCCCTTTTGAGGATTGTAATCTCTTCATCAGCAAGGCAGCTGCTGCATTACACTTTTTAAAGGACTCCTGAGCTGATGTCCCTGGGTGTATACACACCACAAAGAAACAGGTTAAGCAAACCTATGCCAGGCTGACTTTCAGCCGTTTTCTATCTTCCATGCTACAGTTCATTGGAATCTCCTAGGAAGAAAAAGACATGGCATAGAACAACACCTTCTGCTTCTGCTTCATCCGAAAAGGTGCGGCAGATTTCTCCCTTAGAGGTAGCCAGTTTGACAATTTAGATGAAAGCTGCTTAAAACATACCCAAAGGACTTGTACCCCTTCTTACCCAAATGGGAAACACTTATTTTATCGCCAAGCTACTTAGGCAATGTCCCCTCAGATTGTTGGGGCCTGGAAATCATCCAGGGTGGATATTCAGTCCAGTTTCAGGCTCCCCCTACTTCCCATTTACTCTCACTATTCCTTTTCAGGGATCCCTCTCACAAGAGATGATTATACCAGGAGATAGATGTGACATTACCCAGGGTACAATCTGGACTGTTGAACAGCTGTGTCCCCTCAATTCTCTAATGTGGGGTGCCTTTTATACTGCTTTGCTGTGAGAGCAACCACTCCTGATCTGCTCTCACACAGCCTCCCACATGTAAACGGCTGCCAGCTCTACTGTCTGAGTGCTATGGCCAGCCACTCTTGAATTACACTGCAGAGCAGCACCAGCAAATTCCCAGTCCCAGACTTTCCCCCAGAAATGTCTGTCTCATAGTGCTGGAAAACACAAGCTCATATAAAGTCTGTCATTTTATTCATAGAAAATGATATGCACAAATCCTGTTATCTCAAATGGACTTTCCCAAACACTTCAATCCAAGCACACTGGTTTAAATAAAACAATAAAAAAAAACTTTAACTACAGAAATATAGATGTTAAGTGATTACAAGTAACGAGGCATAAAAGTCAGAATTTGTGTTTTATGTTTTATTTCTTTGCAACCAATACCTAACTGAACAAGGTAAGTGAGTTCAAAGCAAAAGTGTCTCTCACCCCATGCTTCAGCAGTCTTACTGGCTGAATTCCTTTCAGACAAGATCCAAAGCTGTTTCTTTGTTCCTCAGGTGTTGTGTCTGCTGTGGGTAAAGAGAAAGGGAGGAATAACTTGGGGCATCTGTTTCCCATTCTTATAGCTTTTTCTCTTCCTTGAGAATCATTTCCAACTGGGATTTAGGAGACAAAAATCTGTGAGGATGGGAGCCTGCATCTGTTTCTTTGCCAATATGTAAATTTCTCACACCCTTTCTCCTGTCAAAGAATGGCTGCTTAAACAGATGGTAGTCCATTTGGTTTTGTTGACATCTGGCTGAGGAGTTGGCTAACTATCGAGCTAGAATCCTAAAAATAAACTAGTTGCATCAACCCCAGGAGTGGGAGGGGCTGGCTGACCAGAATACGTACCCATCCAAGACACTGGCATGTTCACAGGGCAACTAGCCGCCCTCACCACCCTGGATGCACTCTATTTTTTAGCACACGAGTTCAATCAGAGCTATCATGGGTGACTCTCGTGCTGACAATCGCATCCCCAGCTCAAAGTATAGGCATACGCTACCTTTCATCCAAGGCACAAGAGTGAGGCTGCCAACAGACAACACATGGTGATGTTCTAAGTGAATAGACAAGGAGAAAAACTGTCAACCCATCAGGCAGCAATCTGCTTGTGGTGTTGGTGCATCTGTTACCAGCCAGACAGCTGTGCACCTACCAGACTACAGAACACTAACAAATCACCTGAGCAGGAAGTTTCGAGAAGCTCACACATGGACTGTAAAAGCCTACCATTCAGACAGTTTTTCAAAGTGGTCATCTTCATGTGGTCTTGTTTGCTATAGAAATAAACAAAAATTGTCCCACCTTATGCTCCAGGGGAGACCCAAGTCCAGGATCTCTCTGACACATTCATCGCTCCTCGACCTCCCCCCGAAGGTTTGATGTAAGCAAAACCAACCAGGAATTTGGTAGGAAGAGCCAAACAGCTATTTTTTTTCAGCATCAAATGCCTTTATTAATGCTGGGACCAGCTTTTTATTCTGTGTTGGTGGGCCTAGCACAGTGGGATCCTGGTTCATGTGATGCTATGGCAATACAAATAATAAATATAGCATTATAGTTGTGTATAGCACTTTACAGGCAAAACACCCCACAAGACACCAGGTGAAATCCTAACCCCAGAGACAGTGAAAGCAAACCTAACCATAATTTAAATGAAGCCAGGATTTCAACAATTGTCAATACCCCAAATGGCCTACCAATGTAACGGCTTTTACTCTCCCATCCCCAGGCTCCAACTCCCCTGCTCGGTCATCTGTTCCTTTGATTCCTGCAGCTACCATGTAGCTCAGGGATGGGCAAACTCTGGCCCAGGGGCTGCATCCGGCCCTCCAGATGTTTTTATCCAGCACTCAAGCTCCCGCTGGGGGAGCAGGTTCCGGGGCTTGCCCCATGCCATGCAGCTCCCAGAAGCAGCGACATGTTCTCCCTCTGGCTTCTACGCGTAGGGGCAGCCAGATTACTCTGCACACTGCCCTCCCCCCCAAGCGCCGGCCCCGCAGCTCCCATTGGCTGGGAACTGTGGCCAATGGGAGCTGCAGGGGCGGCGCCTACGGACAGGGCAGCGTGCAGAGGCGCCTGGCTATGCCTCTGCTTAGGAGCTGTAGGGGGGGACATGCCGCTGCTTCTGGGAGCTGCTTGAGGCAAGCGCTGCCTGGAGCCTGAACCCCTGACCCCCTCCCACGCTCTGAATCCCTTAGTCTCAGCCCAAAACACCCTCCTGCACCCCCAACCCCTAATTCCCAGCCCCACCTCAGAGCCCCTCACCCCCCCACACACACTCCAACCCCCTGCCCCAGCCCAGAGTCCCCTCCCACACCCTGAACTCCTCATTTCTGGCCCCATCCCAGAGCCTGCACCCTCAGCCGGAGCCCTCACCCCAACCCGCAGTTTGGTAAGCATTCATGGCCTGCCCTACAATTTCCGTATCCAGATGTGGCCCTCGGGCCAAAAAGTTTGCCCACCCCTGATCTAGCTGCTGCTCCCCCTCAGCCCAGTCAGTATACAGTATCCCCCACCACCCCTGCCTCTCTGCCCATTCCTGTCACTCACTTCACCCCATGCACTACTCTCCTCCCCGCCCCGCCACACCTCCCGCAGGAAGGGCAAACGTCTCCTTGGCGTGTGGGGGCCTGGCCGGCCAATGGCAGGATGTGGGGGCTGGGACGGATACAGCCGGAGGGGAGGCGTGGACCAGCACGGTGGGGGGCTCACTTCAGCGTGTTGGGTGACTGAGGGCTGCAGGGTGGGGCTGCAGCAGGGTGCACCCCCCCCCCCCCAGGTCACAACCCAACCTGGGCCCCTTCCACGTGCAGGGCTTTAGAAGCAGGATTTTGTAGCGCAACACTGGGGGGTTGGAGGGGGGGGCTCAGCTAAGTGCTTCGGCCTTGTAGCCCCCTCCTCGCAATAACCCTGCAGCCCCGGGCCTCAGGGGGCTTCTGAAACCCAGCGACCGAGCTCAGACCAGCGTTGGGAGGGCGTGGGGAAAAAAGCAACCGTTGCCCCGTGTGAGGATCGAACTCACGACCTTCAGATTATGAGACTGACGCGCTACCTACTGCGCTAACGAGGCGGCTGGAAGCGAGGGCCGCGCACCGCCCCTCCAGCCGGGCCCGCTCGCCTTGCAGCGTTCGGCGCCCAGGGGGCCGCGGCGAAAACGGAGCCCCCCAGGGAAGCCGGGGCGGCGAGCTGCGGGGCTCTGGCCCCACCGGCTGCCCCCCAGCAACACCGGGAGACGACTGCGCCCGCCCCGTTGCCCGCCCCCCAGTGAGAGGGGCACCCCGCCGGCTGGGGCGCTGCCAGGGTGGGGCGGGTGCGCCTCAGGGAATGGGAGGGAGGCCGCTCGAAGGGCGGGGTTGGGGGGCCCAGCCACACCCCCCCCAGCCGCCCCCCCCACGCAGCGGCCGCGCTCGCCGCAGCTCCCGAGGGAGGCGGGGACGTCGCTTCCAGTTACTGTTCGGGAGCCCCCGGGGTGTGTGCGCGGCTCCCCGCCCCGCCAAGGGGCCTCCGGGACCCGGCAGACTTCGCCGCCCCTGTCCCCGGTCCGGGGGCAGCGACGTGGGTGCTCGGTGCCCCCAGCGCAGGCAGTTCTGAGAGGGGGCTGTCTGTGCCGTCGCCCCGCTGAATCCGACACCAGAAACTCTTCTGAGCCCCGCAAAATCCCTTTGCGTTTATAACGGAGGCATTCAGCTGGCGCGGAAAGGAACAATGGTTTAAGCGTCCTGGAACTGGTCGTGTGTGCTGCTTTAATGAGCCTTCTCCATTTTCTCTGCCATAACGAGCAACAGGAAGACGAATAGATTTTTTTTTTAAAGCCACGACAAGCGACTTTAATGACTGTATGTGTTCAGGTGTTAACTGGATTGATTTATGTTGACAAGGTGCTATTTTACATGACTAATTAATTATGCCAAATAATTTTCCATCCACATACTTGCACTTAGCAGGTCCCTGAATAATTACTTTTTGGCACTGCTGATGCAGCTGCACGCCAATGCTGAGGGCAAACTACAGTTTATTAAAGTCAAATAGTCAACTGTTTCTTAGAGACCAGCACGTAGTAAACTCGTTTAATAGAGCAGGCAGGAAAGACTCCAAACACAATTCTCCTTCGGAACTTTAGGGTTGGCATTTTCCACCCATTTATTTCAATTTAAAAATATTAATGATTTTATAAGAGTGTGACATTTATCAATAACATAAGCATACTTTCTTCCTTTTTTATTATGAATTACATTAATTCATAAAAAGAAAAGGAGTACTTGTGGCACCTTAGAGACTAACCAATTTATTTGAGCATGAGCTTTCGTGAGCTACAGCTCACTTAGCTGTAGCTCACGAAAGCTCATGCTCAAATAAATTGGTTAGTCTCTAAGGTGCCACAAGTACTCCTTTTCTTTTTGCGAATACAGACTAACACGGCTGTTCCTCTGAAACCGGTCATTAATTCATAAAGTAGCCACCACTGTAGGATCTGGGCTACATTTACATTGAAAATATTAGGACCTATAATGTTTAAATGACACTGTGGTGAAAACATTTGTGCTCTGAACTGCATTGGTGGTGAATTACTGGTCTCATTTTCGCTAGCCTAGCCCAGACCCCAGAGCCCTCAACACCTTCTTTGAAAGCTCTGTATGTCTAGAAGTTAGGTCCTATCTTGTAAGTTGCTCCACGTGATCCCAGAATCAGGGGCCGAGATAGTAAGTAATGCATAGGTGTGGGAACTAAAGGTGAGTGGGGGGATGCTGCAGTGTGGGGCTCTGCTGCCAGTCCCACTTCTCAAGTCCCAGCTGCCACAGGCACAGTGAAATAAAGAGTGATATTCACAAAGGTATTTAGGTGCCTAACTCCCACCAATGTCAATGGCACTTACCTAAGAGACTTCACAGCAGGTGAATGGCAGCACCAGAGTCAAACACAGGTATTGTGCCTGCAATATTCGCAACCCCACACATTCAAAAATCAAGAGTCGGGGCCCAAAATCATGAGATTCTTAAAAAAGCAATAAATTTTGGGCTCTTTATGTTGTCCTTTTGGTTTCTCAGCCTTTCAGGTGCACTTGCACCATGTTTTTTAGATTTTCTCCACCACTAGGATGTTTTTTAAATAAAAGGTGCGATTCTTGTGCAATCACTTGGCACCAGGAGCTGGGGGTTTAAGGAAAAAGATCACAAGATGTGATCAAATTATGAGAATCTGAAACACTGTGAGACTTTGATCCCTGCATGAGCCATCTGACAACATTCCCTCCCAGTAATAAGCTTGTTTTATTTTCACTCAATGGTGAGTAGTTTTAAAAGAAATAAATTACTGAAATCCCTAAAGTAATGGTCAGGTATTATGCATGGGGCACAACTGTCACATTTAATCCATTTTAAAACTTGTTTTCTTTTCTTCTTTTTGTTTAAACAAACAGTCATGGTGGCACCAGATGCAGCCAGTGGCCAGGGCCCCTTTAAACTGTTTTGAAATTATGGAACGGCTGATGTCTTCATTCAGATTAACATCTGAGTTGGTTTGGCTCCACAATAAATGCTATAGGGACCCCTAGAAGCCTCGAGCTGTTTTGGAGATTGTGCAACAGTGCTTGGAAAGGTATCTCCTTTTGCCTCAATGCTTCACACCCTTCAGAGAGTACTGCAAGGAGGGGATTAAAGAAGTGTGATTAAATCAGACAGCACTGGGTAATGTGAGGTTGAACTCTTCATGTGCCCTCCAGGCAAGGTGTGTGTCTATCAGATAAGCAAACTAATCAGCTTTAAACCTATGTTCCATCTGGGGCAGAATCCTTGCTTAAGCACGACATCTGCAAACCAGCCTCTTCAGTTTTTGGATACACTTGTACCAACAAAATCAGCGAGAGCTTGTGGCGCCAATTTGCCTTCGGTAGTAACATTTATTTGTTTTTACTAACAAATGATTCCTTCAACAAAAGGGAATTTACAACAGAGTGGAGTGCAAGTGGGAAGCTCATTTGTTCTTTGTTTACATGCAAGGTGAGCTGTGTTGGTCTCTTATGTATAGTCTATATGCACAGTGCTTGCCATACGCATCAGTCAACTGCTGATCCAAAGAATAATGAGCCGATCAAGACATGTGGGCAAGATAAGGAAACGGCTGGAGGAGATCAAGAATCAGTCAGTCAGGCCAATAAAAGCAGATTTCAGCCACCATGAAAGTGTAAGACTAGCTACTGATGCCCTTTTGGATGGTGGGACTGAATCCTATCTCCAAGCCTTAAATGAAGAAGGAGAGGTGGCTTTTCTGTCATCCGTGGAAGTTCAGTATATCAAGAAAAATGCCAGAGAGCCTTACTATGCTAATGAATCTCATGCAGAGAAGGAGACTGGACCAAGGCAGAATGATGCTGGCTCTCTTCAGTCAGGAACATACTTCCCTATATCTGAAGGTAGTGAACCAGCCCTGCTTCACACCTGGAGCACAGCAGAGAAGCCCTATCTAAAGGAGAAATCCAGTGCCACTGTGTATTTCCAAACAGAGAAGAACAGCAACATCAGAGACATTATACGCCGCTGCATCAGCAAGACCAGTCAGGTAAAGAGAAACTCCATGTTTCCTTTGGGTTTGTTTTTCTCCCTCCTTATAAATACTGTTGAATGTGGTGCTTGGTTAGAACAGGCCCTGGTATGTGCCTTACCAGTGCAACTCTGTCTAAGCAGGGGTGATACAGGTCATTCTATGCTTGCCCTCTCTCCTTTGCAGACAGTGAAAGACACCTCTCACATAGTCTTGTGAAAAACTGGAGCTGGTTTTGTTATGTGAAGGCCTTAAGGTAACAACTGTGCCGTTTGGGTTTGGCATTAAGGGAAACCAGAGTAAGACCAAGCAAGCAGCTAACAATTTCGCTAATATCCCAGACTGAGCTAAATTCAAACCCAGACCTCCAGTGATTAGAAGCTAGTACATTAATTCTCTGGCACACCTAAATTCTCTTGTTCTTCTTATTTAAAATACATTTATTTTATTTGGGTACATTTATCTTAGTTGCGCAGCCATTTTGTATTTGGGACACCAGCACACAGCCTGTCTGAACCAGATAGCTGCATAGTCACTGTAAAAACCTTAGCATGTAGTTTTGCTTTGAAAAGTGACTGTAAGAATGGCACTTACTCACCAGATTGCTCGCTGTGTGTATTCAGAGCAATGTCTTCTTACTTCAGTGACTAAAATAAGTGTTCACTGCTCTTTTTGTCTCCCCTTATCCCTTCAGAGCCAACAAAGCTAAGGAAGTAGGAGCTAGGTTTTCTTTTTGTGCACTGCAAACAGGTTTGTTTAGTAAGTTCTAACCAAGTACATCTGTGCAACCCATGAGTTTGGACAGGTGTCACTGAGGTCATAATTTGAAGACAATAGATAGAATAGGTGTCAGTGAGGGTCTAATCTGGCCTGTGGAACCTTTGTTACTGGTGATGGTGCAGGAGAAGGAAAGAATCGGTTTAGAAGCTCAGACTCCAAGTTGGGTTTGAAGGGTTGGTAGTTAGAAAATACATCATTGTATTTGTAAACTGAACAATGTTTTATCTGGAGATGTTTGCAAGACAATAGTACCCATAGTCTGTGTAATTTCTGAGTTTATAAACAACCCACAACTAGTGCTGCAAGTTACTCTCTCTAAAGGGATGGGACACGTGGCACTTCTGTCAGCCTGCAGCTACTTTGGCTTATCTAAACAGGTTGTCCTTCAACCAGGAGGCACCTATTCCTCCAGAATGTTGCTGAGTCATGTGAATAGAATGGAGTTGTGAGTGAGACTTTGGAGGAGACTATTAAAAAGGCTTTTACAGTGAAAGTTGCAAGAGCTCTTATGCTGTAATCAGATAAATTTCATTTTTTGTTGATGACTCCAGGAGACGCAGCACAGAATGTGCAGCTCAAGGAATATAGGGGGCAAAGGTGGCTTTATACCTCCATCTTGAATCCTAGCTGTTGTGGGGCCAGTTTAACCCACTTGTGTAAATTAGAGCAGCCAGAAGATTTGTTTCCTTTGGTTTCTAGTCAGTTTCACTTTGAGACTCTCATGCACTAGCTCAGTTTGGGTGTAATCAGTGCAGGGGTGGGGGGGGGATGTTTAATCCCAAATAAAATTACATTAAAAATAATTGAAAAATTTTCTATTAATATTAGTGTAATCCTTCTGCCCGTCAGAGTTGGCAGCAACAAGGGCCGGGTTCAATATCTAGGGGTTCCATTCCAATAACACAATGCAAAACCGGCTCGAGCCCCCACCCAGTGACCTGGGACAAATATATACCACCCCCGCTGGGCGCCTCCAAGAGGCAAGACTTCCCCTCTCGCAAGCACATAGTCAGAGTGTAGCAAAAAGCCTTTTAACAACAGAGAGAAACAATGCAGCATTATGTTGGGGAAACACCACCAACAGGATTCATAACATAACCCAAGCAAATTGGAGCGTGTCCATTCCCTTTGGTTCTTGAGTCCAGCAACCCAAAATCACCCAAAGGTCTCTGTCCCTGGTCAGGGCAGCCCCAGAGTTCAAAAGTTTATCTGCAAATGTTTACCTCCCAACCTGGGTGGAGATGGGGTGGGGTGGGGGGATTTAAGGGGCACCTTACATGGTCCAAAACTGATTGCCCCACCTCTCTATGGGGCTCTGCTTTGCCAGCCATCCCCATGAGCTGCTCAGGCTCCCCCACTACTTACTACAAGCTGAAATCAGTGAGTGTTTTGTTAGGGGAGCCTCAGTGCTGGTGCACCATTAGCCCAAAGTGAATTCAGCTCAGCAGCCTGTAACAAAACTCCTAATAGAATCAAAATTAGCTCTGTTTCAGAGTAACAGCCATGTTAGTCTGTATTTGCAAAAAAAAAAAAAAGTACTTATGGCACCTTAGAGACTAACCAATTTATTTGAGCATAAGCTTTTGTGAGCTACAGCTCACTTCATCAGATGCAACTTAACTCTGATATTCTACAGTGGCGAGAGGAGGAAATGCAATTAGCATGTAAGGCTCTCACCAGAGAGCCCATGCCACCCAGTACCTGTCTCCAACCTCTCTCTATTACTGGGTGTTGGAACCCATGACCCTTGCCTATCGAGGGCTGCTTAGTTGATGGTGAGTCCCTCCATCATAACAAAAGGCCGAGTACAGTTCCACTGTCCTTGATTCACATAATCAGGATAATAACAGTTTATTCCTGCCCCAATAACAGAGAAACTGGGACTCCTACAGCAGCCAAAGTGACCACCTAGGCAGGGTGGGTGTGCCTATGCAAATGAGATCAGGCCCTGAAGTTCTTTTCCATGACTCGCCACCAGATGTCAGGGTAGAGCTCATCCTGACTGCTTACATTAGGTTTTATGAAACTCATTCTGAAAATGAACTCTAAATGTTGGTTCTAACCTGAGTCCACCCACATACAGAAAGTTGTACAATTGAGGATTGCTCCAGGCTTGAGGGGTAACATGGAAGAAGCTTCTTTCTATGAATTCATACTGCATACATTTGATCTGTGGGAGAAATTCACCTACTTGCTAAGCCCGGTGTGTATCTTGTATGAAATAATCCTGTTTTAGCTATTTTCCTATTGTTTTCTGGTTACTGTTTAATTATTTTCACCAGTACTGAACCCGGGGCTACAAATTCCTAGGCCATTCTATAGGTCCTTTTACTAAGAAACCTTAAAGAAAAAATATTTTAGGCTGGTTTTATATGAGCAATAAAGCAATAGCAAGATATTCCTTTGAACTGGGTGCTCATCTATATACAAGGAAAGGGATCTATATAAAATTTTCCCTTCTCCAACACAACATTTCAACTTATATTTGTAAAATAAGCATTATATTTTCTTGGTATCCCAAAATCATATATCTTTGCTCTGTTTACACCAATGTCTTTTCTCCCTAGGTTCTGGCCATTATGATGGATGTTTTCACTGATACTGAGATATTCTGTGATGTGTTAGAGGCAGCTAACAAACGAGGTGTTTTCGTCTATCTGTTGCTTGATCAAAGCAATATAAAGCTCTTCAGTGAGATGTGTGATAAGGTGCAGATTGGAGAGGATCACGTCAAGGTATTGCTGATTACACAAAACTCTTAAAGCCTTAGAGCTTTCGTTCCTAATGTCGAACTTGTTTTGACTCATACTCCTCTGTTGTAACTCAGTATCATGGGTATTAATTTGAATTGTGATATAACAAGTATCTGGCTGCTAGCCTAATTTGTCTTCAACTATGTGAAAGAAAACTGAATAAAGAAATAAACTTTCTTCTATAAATGGCCCCCAAGTTTCTAATAAATTGAGGCTAATTAAAAATTTTCATGATGGTGTTTGAACCATTGTTAAATCCCAAAGCCGGGGAAGCACAAGAACTAACGGGTTGGTTTGTTTATTGAAAATATGCCTTCATGAAACACAGGGTTTAAAAACTTATGAGCCAAAGTGTGCTCCCCTTTATTCATCCAACGAACACGACTGATCTGTTAGTACTCTGATCCTACAAAGACTTAAGCACATGTGCTTAACTTTATACCTGGCAAGTAGTGCTGTGGAAATCAGTGGAACTAGAGCCAAGCACAGTGGCATCCTGGTCTATGCTAGGGCATTATGGGCTAGATTCACAAAAGGATTTAGGTGACTAACTGCCACTTTAGATGCCTAAATCCCAGAATTGGGCCTCACTGGGATTCATAAAGTCCCTGCTCTGCTGTCACCAAACCCTAAACTCACTCAGTGCCTACAGTCTCACAGTAAAAGCTCCCGAGGCACCTATGTGTCTGCCTCTGAGCGTGTGCACTGCAGCCCCATGCCAGTTGTCCGGATGCCTGAGCCCGAAAGCATTGCGTGAATATTGAGAAGTCAGGCTTTCTGCCACCTAACTCACCTACAGGGCCCGATCCAGCAAGCACGCTGAGAACTCACGTAGCAGATTGGGCCCGTATAGGCGAGCTTCTACAAAGCAGCTGGGAGTAAGGGGAGGAAAGTTTCACTGTGAAGAAATCATTTTAAAAAGTCTTTGGAGCAGAGGGACTGGATCCTGGCTGTCCAATGTGAGTGCTTTAACCACCAGGCTACAGAGTCATTCTTGGGCTTGCTTGCTTGATGTCTGTCTCTGGCCCAATGACTCTTTCATTAGTTAATCCACAGTGGAGCAGCATCAACAGCTGTGAGATCAGAGGAGGGCTATGTCAGAATATCCCAGAGGCCAGCGATTAGGGCAGTCAGCTGAGGACAGACTTGGACGGGGGGGGGGGTCTCTCCCAAAGCCCAGGTGAGTACCCTAACCATTGGGCTAAAAGCTGTGAGGGAGCACCTCCCCCTCTACTCCCAGCTTCTTGCCAAAATGGTGCTGGCACCTTTCTGCAAGAGAGGGAATGCCGCTGAGAATCCCAGGCAGAGAGAAGAACCTTCCTGTGGTCCAGACTTAGGCCTCTATCTCTGAGACACGAGAGGGGCTTTCACACACCCTTCCTCTTGGCTCCTCCCATTGGCTAGCTTAGGTGGGCCAAGGAACCACTTAACATGATGACATTTGGGAACCCCATTCTAGGGCACCTTTCCTTCCCCATTCATTGTCTAGGGAGCCGAGGCACCTAACCCAGGCTTTGTGATTCCCAGTGATTTTCTAGATGCCTAAGTGAAGTGTAGCAATGCGTAAGTTTCTTTGTGACACTAGCCCTATGGTACTACAAATAATAATAATACTCACAGGGTGTAAAGTGCAGCATATGTGTAAGTCTTTGTAGGCTCAGGGCCTCATTAGTAAGAGGAGTGGGTTTTAGCCCGAGATGTTTTATACTAGAGACAACGTAAAACACTAAGAACTAGATCCTCATCTGGTGCAAACAGACATAGTTCCCTGGAAGCTAGTGGAGTTGCACTGATTTACACTAGCTGAGGATCTGACTCTAGGGATCTAATTCTAGTCACAGCTATGGACATACCCCTGCCGTTCATTTCAAAAGGTGTTGCGTCACAGTCATAGAGCTGGGCGGGGCCCAGCTATGTCCAAAAATTTACAATACTGTACACCATAGCTCCCTTTTGTATAGGTTTCCATACAAAGGCCAAATATATAGCCCAGTTTGTGCACCCATTGAAATCAATGGCATTGCATCACATGACAAAGTCTGACAAAGATTTAGTCTAAATTCTATGCAACTGCACTTTACAGTATTAAAATATACAGTTGGGGAATTAAATAAGAAATCCTAGCAGAGGGAGGGGGAAATTAAGCAATACAGGCTAGCGGAGAAGAAAGATTACCAGCTAAATTTTGCAATAGGATGATGAATTTTAATGTGTTTACTGGTTGTTGTTGTTTTTGGTCTTCTCTAGAATATTTCAGTCCGAAGTGTTACTGGAGAGGTTTACTGTGCCAAGTCAGGCAGGAAATTCTCAGGGCAAATCCAGGAAAAATTCATCATCTCTGATTGGAGATACGTTCTCTCTGGATCATACAGGTGAGACCAGTCATCACATGTTCTACCTGAGGTTAATTCTATTATTATTTGAATTGAAGTTGTACTTAGGGGGGCCCTACTCAGGGATCAGAGCCCCATTGCGTTAGGTGCTGTACACATGAAGGCTGGGTTACAGATAAAAGTATTTCAGAAAGTAAAGGTTTACTCTGGATTATGATTCATAGGCCCTAACCACACTGAGGATCAAGAGTGGTTCCCCTTAAAGTGTTTTGAGGTGTGTTTTTTTTTTTTTTTTTTTCCTTCTGAGAACCATTTTATAACCGTGCAATGGTCAAACTGTGTTACAGAGACTATTTACCCTGCATAGCAAAGTTTGGCTATCCTCATTCTCAGAAAAAAAGATCCCTGTCTCCAGTGGTCATGGATAGCATGTCGCAAGTCATTCATGGTTATACATGGTAGTTACTGTGCAGTCTGGAACTGTGGCAAGTTCATACTAAAGCTCTACTGCTGAGAGGAAGGCTGGCGATGTGGTTAGGGTGTTGAACTGGGACTCAGGAAATCTGGGTCCAATTCTTAGCCCCCCCCCCCAGACTTCCTGTGTGAGGTTTGCCATTGACTTCTGTGGTGCTAAGCTTTCACCCTTAATCTTTCTGTAGTTTGGTTACGCAACTATAAAAAATGTGGTGATAAGCCTTATTTTCCCACACCCTTTGTCTGTCTTGACTGTAAATTATTCAGGGTATAATGCCTAGTACAGAGGACTCTGATCTCAATTGGGACATCTAGGCACTACTCTAATACAAATAATAAATAACATTTATACACATAACACCACTTTTGTGGTTTTAAGACACAGGGTGTACAAAGGGCAATAGGCTGCGAAGTTTGAAGTTCCTTGGATCTAAATATTAATTGGTTCAGTCTCTACCAGAGAAAATTGGAGCTAATTGGAACTGGTCAACATTTTTCCTTTTTTCATGAAACATTTTGAAAATATAATTGTTTCTGTTTTGAATATTGCAAGGAAATATCTTTTGTGGTTTCTGAAAACTTTCCAAACCAAAGCGGTTCTTGTATGAGACACAGCTGGAGTGAATATCTCATGTATTTATGTGTATATCCATCCAATCAAAGAGTCAGGAAAACATCAAGTGACAGCATGCCACAACCTGTACCCAATCACAATTTACACAATAGCAAACCAAAAATAAATCAGTAATTTTTAAAAAAATTGCTATTTTCCCCCTCACAAATAAATAAAACATTTAAAAAAAAATTGAAAATTTGTAGCTGGAAGTTTTCAAATAACTGAAACATTTTGCTGGAACCAAAACATTCTCATAAAAGCTATAATTTTCAAATATATGCTGCTTAAAAAAAAAAAAGTTCAAAAAATGTTGACCAGCTCTAGAGCTGATGGCCTATCCTAGTAGAGACTAGGATTTACCTTAACTGTTCATGGCTGACTCAAAAGAGATTGTGGAGCAGAACTAGAAAGCTGCCCATAATACTTACCACATTTTTCATGTTATCAGCAAATCATTACCAAGAGACATGTACATTTCCATCACCTTACGGAGCTCTTAATGTGGCATAGGTCAGCCTCTGTTTGGAGATTCACTCTCTATTTTCCTTTCAACTAGCTAACTTGTCATATAGAAACGCTAGATTCCTGCCATCCACCTTAGCAGATATGATGCGTCTAGCCTTTATTTTCTGTTAATTACGCCTGTAATATCTGGCCTGCAATGTTTTCATACCGGTATAACTATTCTAGTTAGAGGTGTGGTTTTATTGTTTTTAACCGAACAGCCCACTTTAATTTCCCTTCCAACATGTAGTGTTGCTAATTCTTGCAATTTTATTAAGTCTCACAACATTTGGAGTATTAATTAAAGCCCCAGATGCTAAGGTTAGGAGATTGCATGAGCATCTGAGCGTTCATGTTTAAAAAACTACATTTCTAATCTTCATGGTTACAGAGAAAATCTTGAAAACTTGACTCACGTGAATCCTACCGGCTCAGAAACCAGAAGGTGAAGAAAAAGATCCAAATTGTATTATTTTTTTTAAATGTCATGCTCTTGGGGAGGTCTGACCAGTATAAGAACTTTTATACCAGTATAAATGTGTCCACACTATGTGTAGAGGGAGTGGGGGATACAGATAAAGTGGTACAACCTGTGTGCATAGACAAGATCTCTGCTGGCCATAGAGACAGCCATTTTGTGTTCAGTTCTCATCAGACCGTGAGACACACCTACATTGGGTGCTTTTTCAAGGACAGTTTATTTTTGTTCTTTCTACTTTTGTGTTCTTTTAATCTTCTGACTGAAGATGCTTGAATGCTATTAGTATACGTAAAAAACATACCAGCAAATCCATGTTGTATTGAATGTGTATGTAAGGAAAGCAAATGTGAGGGAATGGAGCAAGCAGACTTTTTCTCTAGCAAAGATTTTCTCTTTGCTGTAAAATGGCTAGCACACCCACCCACCATTCATATTCAGAGTCGTGCCTTGCATTTATCATTGCTGTTGCAAGCTGCTCTAACCTCAAAAGCTTTGTCAAACTGCATAACCTTATACTCAGGCCAGCAGAGGGTGTGGTGAATACCAAATCTTTTATACATAGTTTAACTCCATCAAGCCCTGCCGTGTTTACCATAGGCTCACACACCATGTGTTGTTTTTGGCTTGCTAGCTTTTACTTTGTTCACTCTTGTTGTTCTCCTCATTCCCCTATCCCAACCCCAGTTAACCCTCAGTCTTAGCCAGCAGCTTATACTCCTGGGGAAGATCAATGCAAACGAGCCTTTTTGATGAGTGATGATAATAGAGACACTTTTGCAACCGATGTTCCTTAAGAGTCTCATTTGTGTAGGCCTTAAAGGTAACGCAAAATCACGTCAGCTTAGCTTTTTGTCGTGGATCATTAGAAGGGTTTGAATCTGGTTTAGGGGGTAGTTTCCATACAGTTTTATCACCTGTACCTCTGGCTTTGGGCTGTTGGAACATTGTATGCATTATAAACCCTACTTTTTCTAATTCTCTCACGTATATAATCAAATCAGTCTTTAGCAATGTTAGGTCAAGTATTTATTTGTGTGCGCGCTCTCAGTGCTCATAAAAGAGGCCCAATTAAAAGCCCTGGAGAGTGAACCCCTTGCCTAGGGTGACCATATTTCCCTTAGCTGAAAACGGGACACAGGTAAGAGATGGTCCCTGCTCAGGGAAGGTTACTTTATACATCTCTGAGGCACAATCCTGTAAGTAAACTCCTCACTATCCTGTGATGCAAGCTGTCCCAGGTTGACCCAGACCACCTGTAGTGTCCAGCCAGAGAGCGGGGGCTGCTGCCCAGGGGACAGGTTTGAAAGCATCCCTGCCTGCCAGCAGCAGCAAATCTCTCCAGTCATGCTGGTGGTGGGCAGCACTAACTTCAGAACTGACCCCCTGTCAGCAGCCGCCGCTCTCCCCGGGTCTGCCAACACCACAAATGCCATCTTGCTGATTACCCAGATCTCATGATTCCAAATCTGAGCCCATTAAAGGCAAAAAAGAGCAAACACGAACAAATATGAAACACATCATAAGGTTTTCAGCTGATTTTACTCATCAGATCAATTAGTATGACTTTTTCATGGAATCTCAAGAAATAATTTCTGCTGTAGTGTCTTCAAAATGCAAAAAGACAAAGCATTTAAAATAGTGCCTGTTCTATACAACTGAGCACAAGGTATACTGAAGCTAGTAGTCGATCTAACTGCCCTTCTTATAACATGCAGTGTTATATTCTCTTCAGTACAAAGAGACTTAACTCGGATGGGATTTTCAGAAATACTCACAACTCTGCTCCCATTAAAGTCAATGGTAAAAACATCAGTGGGAGAAGAGCTGGAGCAAAACTGAGCTCCCATCCACAAGGTATGTTCAGATTTAAATCTGATCTCTGAAGCACCTCTCATGCACACCTATGGTGTTGTAAATGTGAGCTATAAAGGAAAAGTAAAGAATTTCAGGGTCAGGAGCTGCCAGTGAAGTCTACAACATTGCACTGACAGTTTCCAAATGAACTTGCTGAGAGAGTGAGAGGATACAGTCAAAAACAGGACTCCAATGTATTAAGAATAAACTCGGAACAGGCTGTTCTACATGGTTAGGGAGGCAAAATACTAGAATTACTCCACAGAAAGATCTACTAAGGAGTGAATTAATAAAACAGCATTAGTCTCAGGCTGGAAGGATCCTTTTCACACCCAGTATTTCTTACCTAACGTGATTCATCTTAAAATTGTACATTAGGCAGTGTTTTCAGATCTTCGCATAAACTGCACAGTCTATTGTGTTTTGAATTATGCTTTTTGGATGAGTTTATACTAATAGTAAAAATTACTGCCTCCCCTGAGCCTTCCCCTCAGAAGCGGGAACGCTGTACATAGAAAATATGCTAATGACCCAACGTGGAGATAAAAGTTTCCACTGAAAGAGTTGGATAGTTCCTGAAAGAAGATGCAGCTATGGATACAACTGCAGGAAACAGGTTAATATAGGTTTATTATTCTCAGAACTATTACACATAAGGTATGTGGCTCTTCCTTTAAAATCAGCCAGCTCCTGCTTGCCTTATTAATTTAGTGCCTGCTCCGTTTCTCATTAGTCAATGGAGAGTCTCTTTAACTTAGTATGAGTTGGATCTGGCTCTTTCTGCTTATTAGATACTCAAATACTACAGTGTTGCTTGCAGGATAGACAGACAGGCATCGTGTGTCCTTTGGCTCAGTATCCACATAGTCTTTTGCATTAGTTAACTAAAATAGATTCAAGATCGCTCCTTTGGCTAAAGTGATGCTACTTTGAATGTGGACAGTTCTCTCTTTGTGTGCGTGTATGACGTACAACCAGAGTAATACAACACTAAAGCCCAATTAAAGGTACAGATTTTGAAATATTCAAACATACTTGCTGTTTAACACCATATTAGTGATACTAGTTAATGCAACAAGGTACACATGTCAGCTGCAGGGCTTCCACTGCACACATTTCAGAATTCTTGTTTGTTTTGGTTTTTGCTGGAAGGCACTTTATTAAAGTGGGATATTATAGTAAAAAGACCCATTCCCTCACTCTGACAAGGTGAAAGAGATGTGTGAATAAGTAAGGGATTTTGGATAAGATTCAAGTGGTAGATTTGACTCATTGTGATCTATACAAATACCCAAACTATCACTGCGCTTGTTGGAATTAACTTTTATATAACAGACTTGGCTCACACCACTCCCTTTAGAGGGTTAGTCAACTTGACAAGGTTCTTGAAGGCTTCAGAGGCAGTTGTAATAACACTGTTTATCATATCAAAGACAGGGGATTGACATTAAGTTACTTGCATCTCACCTGGAAAACCAATCTTGTTAATACGTTTGGACCATAGGTTTCAACAATATAATACACAAGCCATTGGCATAATCTTTGCATTGTTCTCCAATTTCTCATGGACAAGGTTAACACGGACTTTATGTTCTCTTTTCTTCCAGCTTCACATGGTTGTGTGGCCAGGTTCACCGGAACTTCCTTTCCAAGTTCACTGGCCAAGTTGTAGAGCTCTTTGATGAAGAGTTTCGACATCTCTATGCTTTGTCCAAGCCAGTGATGGGACTGAGATCTCCCACACACACAGTGCCCTTCTTGCTAAACAAGAGTACCACCACCCAAGGCAGCCTCACTAGCAGCAGCAACCAGGGAAGTGCCAATACTCCTTCAGATCCATTCAGTAGCTTGTCGGCTAATAGCACATATCAAACCAAACAACCCTCCAGAACTCACATGTACAGCAGCAACCCAACATCACAGTCACCACTTCATAGAGGTAACTCCTTCCATGGCTACACCTCATTCATGTCAACCCAACCATGGAAGGCCACCCAAACCAACTATCATCAGTGGCAGTTTGGTACTGATACCCCAGCAGTCCTTTATAATAATGTTAACATCTACAAACCTATGCAACTTAGACAAGACAATGTAAACAGGTCAAGGTTAAACCCAGTGTGGAGATGCCTTCATAAAGCTAACCTGATTACATAACCACCTTGTTTTGTATTGCAAATGTATTGAAGATTCATTTTAGCAATAGCCTGTTTAATAATGAATACTCAGCATAGAAATTATGTAGAATACAAAAGGGGGAGACTTGCAAGACTGTGTTCTCTCTTTATTTTGTTTCAAGCCTTAGGGATGATTGTATGTTTCAGTCACAAAGGACAACCACCACCAAATGTTTCTCAAATTAATAAAACCTAAGTCTGCTAGCACTGAAACCTTGCATTTATGATACCACCATTTAGGAACAGAAGTAGTAGCATTGTTTAAAATGTCGGGTACATCGATCTGCCCTTACATAATGTATTTGTGGTCAGGTGGTTAGCATTGCCAAATGAAAGTGCATAAAATAACAGTTTGATGATGATTTTTATGTGCTTGTGAAGTTTTCTGTTTATTCACTAAAGATACTGGCGGCAGTCGTGCAAGTTCTCTCATTCGCTGCCACCATGCCTCAATCCTGACTTGGAAGGATCACTTGAAGAGTTGAGAGAAGCACAGCCTCCATCTCCATTCAGTCATCTCTGCTGAGACTGGTAACAAGGGTGCCAGTTGTGGTCGTGCTTTCTGTGAATAGACCTGTTGTGACAATCCCCTGGTGTTATCTGGACTGGTGATCGGCTAGGTCACTCCAATCCTTGACTCTGGGAAACAGCCTTACCCTGCTCTGCTGTGAGAACCCCCACTCCTGGGCTGGTCCTGCACAGACTCTGGCATGGAAGCTGCTCCCAGCTACATGAGCACTTTCTGCCAGCTGCTGCTCGGATTGTGCAACCGAATGACACTAGTCAATATCTCCGGTCCCAGACACAACCCTAGGAACATCCACCTTGCAGTGTCCAGTTATGCCGCTGGATGCTGCAAGCTTACATGAGTTCATCAATTTAACAAAGAAATTGATATGTCTAGGCTTGTTATCCCAAGGGGAGTTTCTGACACACCACAAACCAAACAAACTGCTTCAGGTAGAATAAACAAATTTATTAACTACAAAAGATTGACTTAAAATCTAAGCACAAGTCAGATTTGGTCAAATGAAATAAAAGCAAAACACATTCTAAGCTGATCTTAACACTTTCAATGCCCTTACAAATTTAGATGCTTCTCACCACAGGCCGGCTCGTTGCCCTTCAGACAGGCTCTCCCCTTTGATCAGTGCTTCAGTTGCTTGGTGGTGATGTCTGTAGATGGAGGTGGAAGAGAGAGGAAGAGCATGGCAAACATCTCTCCTTTATCATGTTTTTTCTTCCCTCTTGGCTTTGCCCCACCCCCTTCAGAGTCAGGTGAGCATTACCTCATCCGTAGTCCCAAACTGACCAAGGGAAGCGGGGTGACTCATTTGAGATTCCAACAAATCCTTTGTTGCTGCCTAAACCAGTGTCCTTTGTTCCTGAGAGGCTGGGCTGGGTTTGTCCCATACATACCCTGATGAGGTGTGAACTGCCCCTCTGCTCCTGGAGAGTTTTGCCTGGGCTTGTTTTAAGCCATGAGGACACATTTTCAGCCTCATAACTTTACACATGAAATTGCAACCTATAATATTAAACTACAACAACAATGCTCAGTGCATCACGAGCCTTCCAAAGACACCTGGCATGACAAATTTTGCATCAGATACCACATAATCATATTATAAGGATGAACATGGGGGTACAGGGTGTTCCCCTGAGGTAGAGTGTCACACCTGTCAACTATGAATTAGATTGAGACCACCAGCTTATGTTACACAGGTCACCAGAAGCCAGTAGATGGTAACAACTTTCAGTTACTATCACCTTCAGCTAGCTTTAGTCCATTAACCTATATGTGAAAAGCGTTCTAACCCATTAGCCCAGTACCACCTATTCTCTCATCACAGTTAGTTACACAACTGGAAACTGAAGCCTCCCATTTAGGAGAGACTCCCATTTCTAGAGGACAATTTTACCTTGAAAATATTTGCATAGATTCGGACTGGAAAATGGTGTGCAGTAAAGGAGATGAACAGTCTGAAAGCAAAGTCTTATCAATCACACACCTTACAGATACTAGGCTTAAAGGGCTCAGTTCATCCTAGAGGATGAATCTGTTATAAGTGCATGAATCTTTGAAATCCTCCCAGTGGTCATTTGGTTAAGTGAGAAGACAATGAAATAGACAGCAATTGGCAGTCAGAGTTTTCAAAACAAAAGGGTCTGCTCCTCAGAGGTGCTGTGTGTCTGTAACTCTGATTAAAGTGAATGGCCAGTACAGGTGTTAAGCACCGCTAGAGATCATGCCCCAAAATGGCATATCCTATATTTGAAAGGATCCTTAGAAATGAGGAAGTTTCCATAACTGTGAGGGAGGCATAAAACAATCATAAGGAAATTCAGTCGACATACATAGAATGTCCTTTATTTAACTCTTTATGTACACCAGAACACTAGTAAATCCTGGGGGAAATCTGTGCAAAATTTTTTTTTAAATTCTGCACACAATATTTTAAAATTCTGCATATTTTATTAGTCAAAATAACAATATAATCATGCCAGTTTCAATTATTTTGGTAATTTATTTTAAAATACCTGTCACAAGTATGTCTAACAGTACAGACAACAAAAGATTCAGGAAATGTTTTTTGACAAATAGATTCCTTACTAGGCATATGAATACAGAACTTTGAGTAATAATTCATTTATACTACAATACAGACTTTCCTGCATCCCTCAGAAGCAGTGCAAAGGCTTGTGGGGAGTCAGGGGTAATGGAGGAGCTGAGGGAGGAGGGAAGTAATTGCTGGGCAGGAGCCTGGGAGTGAACCCGGAATGTTGTTGAGTGTGGGTGGGAGAAGTATGGAAAGTTTTCTGTTTGTTTTTAGGGGGTGGGGGAAGGGAGGGAGAGATTGTTAGGGAGTTGGGGAGCCTCCCCCATGCAGACCCTGACTGACCCCCAGCCTTTCCCATTCAGGCACATCTGCCCTGTATCCATATGTCCCTGCATCCCTCCTCACCCCTGCACCACCTCTCAGCCACTCCCCTCCATCCTGTCCCTATAATGCCCTGCATCCCCACTTACACATTCTCATGAGGCCCTGCATCCCAACGCCCATTCAGCTACTGGCTCAATGCTGTTAGCCCACTAGCTCCTGTGCCCCTTCCCCAATCTGTCCCCCCACTAGCCCTTCTGAACCCCCCAGCAGACCCATGTGCCTACCCCCCCCCCCCAATATCCCGTGTCCCCTCACCTGACCCCGTAGGCAGAGTGCTGTGAGGAACACAGCCTCTCCTTCTCCCGCTCTGAGGCTGGCTGCTCCAGTCCAGAGCCAGCTGCCCTCACTTCTGGCGCCACAGCAGCTACTGGTGGGCAAAAGGTGTAACTGCAGTGTCTCTAGCAGAATCTATTTTCTGGGGAAAAAAAAAAAAAAAAATCTACGGAGGACATTAATTCTGTGCATGCACCAGAAGTGCAGAATTCCCCCAGAAGTAACACTAGGCAATAGATTTTTGCAGTAAGATCTTCAAGCATTTGCAGATTATAAACAAGGAAAAAATGGAATTGTTTGAGGTGGTGCAAGGAAAGGGAGTGATCAGAAAATTCTCCTGACAATGAGTTGTCTGAGGTTGTAGAACAATCTCCGCCGGGAAGCCCCTTCTTACCTAGTAAAATGGACAAAACACTAGAAAATGTACTGCAGGGAACAGTCCTGCACTAGCAGGAGGATGGTCTCTAACCATCTTGGCCTTTTCCACCACTAACATCTATGATAATGACTAGAGCACAGAATTGTGTTGATAAGCCACTGAATAAAATTGCAAAAGTATTTTGTGGCATCTGTTTTTATTTGATTTTCATTAACACCTTGTTCTGTTATCTACAAATAGCCATCAGGACAACCATGACCTATTCTCTTTGTAAAACAGATTTCAGAGGCCTCCATTAAATTCCCTTTGTGAGCAATGTTTTGCTTATTCCTTTCCTCTTAACTTGTGCACCTTCTACTATCTTTTCCAATAGCATAACTTGTTTCTATATAGTCATAACAAAACTAAAAGAAAAATTAATTTTATTTCCACTGACATCGATTAAACCCATACAGCCTATTGGCCTACTTGGGGTGCTAATGTATTCTGTTCATATTTTTAATAGGGATGTGCCAAAGGGGTCAATAAAATATTTTGATAGTGCCAGCTTTGTAATTCAGTTAGTGTAAATGCAGTTGCCAGAGAGAGCTTATTGCACCTGTCCTCTGGTATTTATATTACCTAAAAGACCCAGTCAGCACTAGGGACTGCGTAAATACTTATTAGAAGACAAGCCCTAGCCCAACCAGGGTACACTCTAGGCTTAGGTCTCTAAAGCTCGTAGTGGCTTTACATTTAGTTCCAGTTCCAACTCAAAGTAGAAAGTTTTATAAGTTAATTTTTTACTGACTTGGGTCCTGCATATCTTTTTTGGTACAGTAGAAATCTGCTGAGACAGCCGGAGGCTGGTTATAGGGGGTACACAATAGAGGTCCTTCTACTCTAGAACTTACTTCACCCTTTGTAAGGCCTGTATATTTACAGGATTTTCTGAGGAGCTGGAGCGTGGTTTGGGAGCTTTTCCTGGTAACCAAACTGATAAACAATTTTCCTTGTTACTGTGAAATCATAGCTTGGGGACTGCAGAATCATAGGCTGTGCACAGCTAACCAGGAGAGTGGATTGTTAATAATGATGGCCACAGGACTAGAATATCACACAAACTTGCAACTTGCCAGTAAACATTTATGGTTACGTTCCATAAAAGACCCTTTTTAAATGGGAGCACTGTGATAAAGGGAGCTGCTGACTAGCCAGTACATTTAAATCAGAGGACTCATATTTTGGTCCTTTAAAAATATTTTGTAGCGTAGAGTTTCACTACCAGGTGGACGATTTACCTATTCAGTCATCTGTTCATGCCAAATTGCAGCAAGGTGACATTATGACTTGCATTGTGCTTTAGTTAAATTTTTAAAGCCGAACACCAGGGATATAGCTTCTTCTTTGATGAGGAATTCACTGGCATAAAATTTCAAGCCAATTTAATGGTGTGCTGCAAGTTCCCAAGACACCTCTCAAGATGATCCACCAACAATAGTGCCCACTGGCTAAAACAGACAGCCAGTAATAATAAAAAGCATAGCTATCCTAGCACCAGCTCTAGAGTTTTAAAAAAAAAAAAGCAACTGCTACCAACCAGCCCGTTATACAAATCATCTATCACAAAACATTTTGCTGGTCCTAATATTTTATAGACCTAAGCAACTGATAGTTCCTCAGAATAAAGCCAACTCTTGAGATTTGACCTAGTCATTCATAGCCCAATGAAATATACAAAAGCAGTCTCAGTGCTGTGCAAATATTAAACTATATGAAATTGATCCAATACGGTAGTGGGGGATACTTTGTGCAGCTGAGTTCTCCAAAACTTTAGAGGAAGTGTAGATTGGAGACAAACGGATAATAATGTGGGAGGTCCACTTTGGATAGAGTATAAGGGTCAAATTCAGCCCTGGCATTAATGGGTGCAGCTCACATTAATTTACGTAAGGGCTGAGCTTGAATGTCAAGTGAATGTCATTTCTGTTCTGATGGAAAGTAGTTCACAATTTCAGCAAAAAATTAAGCAAAAAATCCTAAACAGGCTCCCACAAGCTAAACTGGCCAATGATCAACAGCACATGTAATTACAAGCAGCTGCAGAAGTGTCCCAACTTTCAGCAAAGCCCGAGAAAGATACTGACACACCACTTACATTTGCTTGAGGAGAAAGGCTCATGTAAACACCACCATGAGACTCCACTCCAACTCTGCTAACTGTGGCAGTGAACAGCTGGTTATGTCTGCCATAAACTAGAATTACTGCATTCAAATGCTTATTAACAGTATTAAATAGCATATAGTTAGTGTGCTCCCATGCAACAATCACTTTAGAACCATTATAACTAGCTTTCCATAAATCTTCCTATCCAAAAGTAGAAACTGAGAGTCTAGGAAGTACATATAGTTGTATGTAAGCATCAGTTTATTCAGTGTCGTCTTTAAAAGAGCCCAGTAAAGTGTTCTAAAAGTAAAGAACACACATGACTAAAAGGAATACTTGGTTATATTTAAGTATACTTGCCAAACAACTACCTTCCATAACAAGCTGTCCAGGATGTGGTTTAACATTAAGTTACAAAACCACCATAAATAATTTGATATGACAGGGAGGCAATTTTTTTTTCCCCCTGGAGAAGCCCGATACTTAACTTTTACTGAACACAAATGATTACTGAGCATTACATAACAATGCTGAATAATTGTTTTAAACTCCATTTCAAATTAGCAGAGACGTGTGGCTTTGAGTGGGGGAATTACAGTCCAGTGTATTTGTTTTTAAAAGCTTCAGCATTCTTTAGTACACTGAAAAGAAAGGCAAGCACAAGATAAGGAAAATCCCCAAGAAAACAAAATCATGCTGAAAGAGTATATTTTGATTTGGTAACAGTTAATGAAAAATTAATGAGAACAGAATACATTTCATGTTTGAAGAGGAATAGGGAATAATTTTTTTTTAAAAATTAAGAGCACACCTTGGTTGCCTGGAATGCAAATGATGTTGAACAGAGAAAACCAAACAAAGATCTCTACCTTTTCCAAAGCACAGAACAAGTCCAAACCATGTAATTTCACTGCTTTTAAATGTACAGCAAACAGGTGTCTGGATTCATTATAAATTGAAGGTTTAACATGAAAAATCTGTACAGATGAGAGAACTGGTTTGCAGTACGATCAACAATGCATTTTTCTCTTGCACAATTTCACAAAGAGTACAATCGGACTAAGTTCTCTCCAGTATGTATAGCCTCAGAAACTTATTACTCTGAGCCCTCTGCACAAGCAAAAGTGGGGATGTATAGTGAGTTCTACACTTGCACAGAGAACCCATTAGTCTTGAAGAGAGACTCCCTGTGCAGACTAGAAGGGACATATTAGCATTACATTTTTAGAAAGTCATAGAGAGTTGCTCCTTATTGAAAATGTTCTGAATACAACTTAATATATTAAGGTTCTCAGCTATCTGAATTTGAATAGTAGAAATATCTCTACTTATAAAGAAATATTAATTTTAAAAACACACCCACCAGATTTTAAAATAAGAAACTGCTAATTCTACAGCTCTAAATACAGCAAGATAAAACCAAATACTGAAGAAATTTCAGGCTAAATATTGTGGTGAGACTCCCCTAAGGACATCAGAGCTGCAAAGAAATCATAGGTGAGGTGTGCCCAAGAAGTAAACTTTGTGATGTTTGTGTTGCAATATGCCTTTGAAGGCTGAGAATGTACCTTGCCATGGCCCAGTTTTAAACCAGATCTGTCACTTCTATTGGAAATGTTGTAGCACAGAAAGAAAAACCCTACAAGTATGCAAGGAGACTGATGATTATAAATGCAGCCAATATATGCTTTTAAAAGATATACAATCACGTTACTTTAAAAATAAAGAAATATGAACTTTATTCCATAAGTTATTCCATCATCATTAGAGGTAGAGAGGATAAAAAAAATAAATACAATAGCCTGTAAGTTACTTATGATGGAATACATATATCTGGGCAGAATTGTCTCTCAAAATGACAAAATGTCTTGGAGCTTTTTGAACCATTTGCCTTCAAATTCTATAGCTGATGTAGTTACCAAGGATGTCAGGGCTGAAGGGCCTACAGATTTTATCTCTCCCTGAACACCCTCTTTCAGTTTTTCTGGAATGAGATCCTCTCCCATAACCTGCAGGTGAAATAAAAAGGGGGAAGAAAAAAAAACCTGAAAAATTAACAGCAGGGAAAATAATACAGTTTACAGCAGTGGTTCTCAAAGCCAGTCCGCACCTTGTTCAGGAAAAGCCCCTGGCATGCCGGACCGGTTTGTTTACCTGCCTCGTCCGCAGGTTTGGCCAATTGTGGCTCCCATTGGCCACGGTTCACCACTCCAGGCCAATGGGGCTGCAGGAAGGGTGGCCAGCATGTCCCTTGGCCCGCGCCGCTTCCCGTTGCCCCCATTGGCCTGGAGCGGCGAACCGTGGCTAGCGGGAGCCACGATCGGCCAAACCTGCAGACGCAGAAGGTAAACAAACCGGTCCGACGAGCCAGGGGCTTTCCCTGAACAAGCAGCGGAACGGCTTTGAGAACCACTGGTCTACAATAAATAAACATACACTTACATCTAGGAACACTAATAATACAACCGAGCTAAAATTTCCAGCACATGGTCAAACTGTTCACCTACTGCATTGTGCAACAAGAATGGGACACTGAAGGCCCATGTGACATAGCTGCAAAACTCCTCTCAGTTGGTCTTGGCTGTGCTCTGATGTTGGGGTTTTTGCTCACAGGATGAAAGTGAGAAACCTCAATGCCAAATATAAATTCAAGTAATTCACACATGGCAGCAGCAGCAGCATTTTGATTTCCCAGGAAGGCAGGCATTATACCAACAAATGCACGAGAAGGGAGTCATTTCCTTTCCCAGATTTCTTTGTAATGTACTAGATAATCTGCATACTACTGCCCTCTAATGGATGGAATCAGTCCTGCTCTAAAGTGTCAGCTTGCAATGGACTTGCCTTTTAGTGGCTGATTAAATAAAAAGTATAAAGCCCTACTAGTGACAGCAAAAGGAGATTCTCCTTGAGTTCAAAGTATATAGATGCCTATGTATCATGAACTCAACACCTCAAAATCCATCTTTGAGGCTGCATGTTTGTAATCTCTATGAACTCAGACATGGAATATATTCCCACTCTTATGGAACCATCTAAAACTAGTATAGAACCTAGTACACAGAATAAGACGACAAAAATTAATACTGTTAAAATAATTATTGCAAGGAAGTTTCAGTTTGGTTTTCTGGAAAACTAATAAGAAACTGGAGTGTTTAATAAGACTCCATGTGTTCTCAGTTTGTTGTATGTTTATAATTTTCTCTCCTGGACACATTTTTCTTAAAATGAAACTGTGTCCTAATCAAAGCAAAAACAATCAGGTAATAACAGAATACCCCAAAACAACAGGCACCTCTTCAAAGTACCTACAAATGTAAGTCTGAAGAGTCGGTGCTTACATAATGCCCCTTCCCCTTCCCCAGGAACATTTCCAGTAGACAAATCTCTGCAAACTAAGTGGATCAATATAAGACAGTGTCTATGAACTCGTTTCACAATGAAATGGTACACTCACCTCAGTAATCAATAGCAAGGATTCTTCCTTTAAACCAAAACCTTTTACTTTGTCTTCAGTTTCCTGCTGAGCCTTTAAATTCTTCTCCAGAGCAAAGGATGACTGTTGCAACTGTGTAATCTGAAGTAAAAGCCTGAAAGTAGAAAGTCTCAGTGAAAATATGCAGCCAATTCAGAGGAGTGCTGACTGTAAAAATATTAGACAACATGAAATCAAGTCTTTTTAAGTATTGTTTTAAAACAAACGTTTTTTCTTGGGATTTTTAACCAGGGAAGTGGAGAAAGAGGAGAAATCTGTACACATCTATGCAGGTTATATTATACTCAGCACTGTGATATGAGATACACCATGGTTTGATATGGGATACCCAGCTTCAGCGTTCATCCTGTGCTCAATATCTGATTTCAGACTTAACAAGAAAGCAGCATCTTGCTGCATATAGAGATGACTATCATTGTAAACAGGAGAGAGAGAAACTTCAGTTTTAAGGCAAAAAGGCACCTTAGATTGCGGGGGAAGGATAGCTCAATGGTTTGAGCATTGGCCTGCTAAACCCAGGCTTGTGAGTTCAATCCTTGAGGGGGCAATTTAGGGATGTGGGGCAAAAATTGGGGATTGGTCCTGCTTTAAGCAGGGGGTTGGACTAGATGACCTCCTAAGGTCCCTTCCAACCCTGATATTCTAGGATTCTAAAGAATCTCGTAAGTTCATACTCATCTCCACACAAACCAGTCCTCAGACGTGGCTCTAAAATCTTTTAGAACTGTACCCATTTCAGAGGAAGTGCTGCAAGCCTCAACATGATGCTTTTAGTGCATTTATAGACAAGCTCTTTCACCAGCAGAAGTTAGTCCAATAAAAGATATTACACCTCACCCACAGTTTTAGTACAGAACCTTATTCGCTGAGGGGTGAAATTCATAGGAACCTCTCTCCCCCCTTTTGAGGGACAGTTATACCTCACCTGTTCTGAGGTGTACACTAAACATTTTAAAATTCCACAGGATGATTTTAACATATTCAATGACTTATGAAAATCTTGGATTTCTTAGAGGCAAGGACAGAAATTCATAAGAGCTCATTTCTAATAATTTTTGTCAAAGATTATGTTTTTGGTTGGGAAGAAAGGGGGAAGAGAAACAGTTATGCAATTCATTGTTTTCTCTTCAGCCAACTGTCACAGAATTAAATTTATTTTTCAACTTCATCCATTGTGCAAACTGGTGAATTATAAAAATAATTAATTTTTCTCTGAGCTATCTAAGCTGCAAGCAAATAAGACAGGCTGTATAACCAGGAAGGAAGTCAGCTATCCCTCTCCATTGCTCAAGTTGTTGCTGTACCATGAATTCCAAAACTAAAAGCAGCACGACAACGGAAATAGCACAGTATTAGTAGTGTAAGTATGGGAAGCTTTCCATATAAAATCATTTTTAAAAAGACCGTTGAGAATATATATTACCACTTTAGGGTATTAAGGCAAAGAATTTAAAAAATTGAATTCATTTACATTTCATCCATTCACAAGAGTGGTTTGCTTTTTGCATTTAACTCAGATTGCACAGTGAAATCAGACTGGTCAGTTTTATTTTCTGGTGCTCTTGCAGTAGTACGTTTGTGTGTGTTTGCAACAATGAGGGAAATATTTAAATTGACAATGTCAAATTTTGATATTAAGGTTTAGGAATACTACATTTTTAAAATAAAATCTTTTTGGACTAAGGGTAGTTAAGGTTTTCCCTTTAGTTATATATTTAGTTACCTTGTTCTAACAAAGGAAGCACATGCCTTTATCCAAACATCTTTCAATGCTTCCTGTCCCCAGAACTCAAAGGTAGCATGTTTCATTTTGTCCCGTGTTTCACATTCGTCTGTGATATGGAGGGATCCCTCTACCATGTGGTTATCGCTGTAAGATACTGAGCTGTCTCTGATTGTTTTTGTAGAAAGTGTTGACCAAACGTCTTCTCCCGCGCTATGCGTTTTGTGACATTGAAGGTTCATTTCTTTTCCAAACAGTCCTGGTGAGGTTTGGAAAACTTGGTCATTTGCACTACAATCTTTGCATTGAACAAGTTTTGTTTCTGAAATGAATGATGGAGGCAGAGTCTGTAAAAAGTACATATAAGCCTCAGCAAGTAGCTTCCAGTTCCATGGGTTAAAAGGATGTAAGGAAATCAGTTGCTGTAGGCATGTGACCTTTTTCTTGATATTTTTCAGGCGACAGTAAATGGCAAACTGCAGGTTGAGGACAGTTGTTAAATGATCTGTGTTAGTTGCCCCATTTCTCTAGAAACAAATTATGACAGATTAAATACAGTAGAATGGACAGAGTCATCATTGTTCAGGAGGATATTTTTTCCAGTGATGCACAAATCCCTCCCTCCACTTATGATTTCCAAAATTAATTCTCCAAATTCTGTTAAATATTTTAAAGATAATCTGATATAATGATGTGCAATCAGCCACAGCAGATTCAAGAATGCACTCCCCTAAGTGGTGCCTTATCCCAATCTGACATTATCATCCTTGAATTTTATCACCACTTATCTTTTTTATAATTTTATACTGCCACCCATCGACACAGTATCTTAGTGTCTTCCACATAAAACAGCAAAAGCAAAATCCCTAGTGGACTTCATGAAGTCTCTGGCACTTCTCCTTTTACAGGCACAGAACTCTGCTTGGGGTAAGATTTTTGGAGGCGTGTGGGAGGAGTTGGTAGCGAATGCTTGGGAGTAAGAGGGTGTTCAAATTGGGGATGCCACTTACGGTGAAAAGGTATGGACTATTCATTTACTCCCTTTCTTAATTACATTAATCCTGGCCAGAAGAGCAAGATTCTACTCCTCTCTAAGATTACCACCAACACTTTTGTGGCAAAGCGTTTTAATTTGTAAAGAACAAATACATATATTAGTGACAACCACTCTCCCTTTACCAAACATTCCTTGCACTGAGCTCACACAAAGGGGTTATTTTACAGGAGAAGGATATTTTTTCAGAAAACAGTTATGTGTTAATAATAAAAAAAAAGTACTAATCATGGTAGGGTGGGTGTGTAGGTGTTGCGGGGGGTGGGGGGGAAAGGACTGCTTAACTAACCAGTTTTTCTGCAATATCCAGAGCCTCCTTGTGCCTTCCTAAGTGAGCTAAACACCGAGCTTGGCCCTCTTGGACATCTCTTCTCATTGCAACGTTACTGGAAGGTAACAGCAGCAAGCAGCTTGAGTACTCATACAGTGCTTTCTAGTAGGATGTTTGCAAAAATAAAAGTTAAAATGAAAAGCAACAGGATATAGGACTAAACAGATCTAAAAGAAAAAGATCAAAAGCTATAACTTAAATATGCACCACAATTACAGCTATAATCTGAATGGATAGGAATTCGAAGATCAAATCAACAACCTATTTTGTTTAAGGTGACCTGCCAAGTACTTTGAAAAACTGGGCATGAGCTGGCTTTTTAGAGGGGGTGTGGAGAGAAATGGTGAACTTCTTTATTATGTATAAAGACTAATAAGGAAGATGAATATAAAAAGTGTTAAACACAATCCTTCAGGTTGATGAACAATCTCAACGATCACTGATGTAAATGGGGTTTGCTCAGCACATGAAAGGATCATGTACTCATTCGGGAAAAAAATAAAAGGTTAAAAGAGAGCAAGGAAGGTCTGAGTATCAGAAAACATCTGTAGAAATCTAATAGCTCAGCCGATAAATCAAGCCTTACAAAATGTATTTGATCACAGAAACCATTTTTCATTTGGACCTAGTCGGTTTTAGGTGGAATCCGCTATATTTAAAGTTTTGAGCTTTATCTACTTGAGGTTCCCTTTAAGAACTACAGGACATAAACATTCAAGCTGTTGATGCAGAAAGCTTCAATAATCCAAGATCTCAATCTGACTCATATCCCTGTTTCACAGAAAGTACTGGAACCATAAAAATACCTGAAACTCTTGTTGTCTGTATGCCAAATCCCCTCTGAATTTTTTGGCAGTTAGAATTTCAACATTGTCCTCGCTGTTTGCTTCCTCACAAAACCACTGTAAACCCAAAGGAAAATATTCAAGTGTATTGTGGAAATTGAAGTTATGATTTTTAACTTGGCTATTAAGCAATTTACAACAACAAACTACTAATGTCAGGACTGAGTACAGTATTTCAGGATGAGACTACACAGCAGTAGATTTGTAAGTGGGGAGACAGCATGAGGGCCAATGCAGCCATCATATTTAGAACAGGGTGAGCAAACTTTGGCCCAGGGGCCAGAAATGGCCTGCGAGCCATTTTAAGCCAGCCCGCAAGCTCCCGCTGGGGAGTGGGGTCTGGAGCTTGCCCTGCTTTGGCGCTCCAGCCGGGACATTGGGTCTGGGGCCGCACCACGCGGCTTGGCCCTGCTCCGGTGCTCCAGCTGGGGTGCTTGGTTGGGTGCCACACCATGCGGCTCCTGGAAGACGTGGCATGGCACTGGTCTGACTCCTACACACTCCAATGGCCCCCTCTGGTGCTCCAATGGGAGCTGCAGGGGCGGTGCCTGTGGATGGGGCAGCGAGCAGAGCCTGTCACCCAGCACCACTCCAGAGCCCACACCCCCAACCAGAGCCCTCACCTCCTCCCGCACCCCAACCCCAATTTTGTGAGCATTCATGGCCCACCATACAATTTCTATTCCCAGATGTGGCCCTCAGGCCAAAAAGTTTGCCCACCCCTGATTTAGAAGCTACCACACCAAGTTCACCATAATGGGTAAATATAATACTGCATTAAATGCAAACATTTATGGTACTATAAAGTTAAGATTGTGAACCAGACATCTAAAAAATAAGGAAATTAAGAAGTTAAGGTTTCAACAGCAATTTATCTCAGGTAGGTTACACAGCCTATGTATTTTATAGCAGCAGTTCTCAACCTATTTCTTTCCGAGGCCCCCTCCCAACATGCAATAAAAACTCCATGGCCCACTAGTGCCACAACAACCGCCTTGCTGCATACAAAAAACAGGGCCGTCGTTAGGGAATAGCACGCAGGGCAGTTACTTGGGGCCCTACATCACAGGGGCCTCCACAAAGCTACATTCCTCAGGCTTCAGCCCCTGATGGCAGGCCTCGGGGCTTGTCATAAATATAAAGGGAAGGGTAAACCCCTTTCAAATCCCTCCTGGCCAGGGGAAAGCTCCTCTCACCTGTAAAGGGTTAAGAAGCTAAAGGTAACCTCGCTGGCACCTGACCAAAATGACCAATGAGGAGACAAGATACTTTCAAAAGCTGGGAGGAGGGAGAGAAACAAAGGGTCTGTGTCTGTCTGTCTATAGTCTGTCTTGCCAGGGATAGACCAGGAATGGAGTCTTAGAACTTTTAGTAAGTAATCTAGCTAGGCATGGGTTAGATTATGATTTCTTTAAACGGCTGAGAAAATAATTGTGCTGAATAGAATAAATATCTGTCTGTGTATCTTTTTTGTAACTTAAGGGTTTGCCTAGAGGGGTTCTCTATGTTTTTGAATCTAATTACCCTGTAAGATATCTACCATCCTGATTTTACAGGGGGGATTTCTTTATTTCTATTTACTTCTATTTTTTCATGTCAAGGTTCCTCCCCCACTCTGAACTCTAGGGTACAGATGTGGGGACCTGTATGAAAAACCTCCTAAGCTTATCTTTACCAGCTTAGGTCAAAACTTCCCCAAGGTACAAAATATTACACCCGTTATCCTTGGAATGGCCGCTACCACCACCAAACTAATACTGGTTACTGGGGAAGAGCTGTTTGGACGCGTCTTTCCCCCCAAAATACTTCCCAAAACCTTGCACCCCACTTCCTGGACAAGGTTTGGTAAAAAGCCTCACCAATTTGCCTAGGTGACTACAGACCCAGACCCTTGGATCTTAAGAACAATGAACAATCCTCCCAACACCTGCACCCCCCCTTTCCTGGGAAATGTTGGATAAAAAGCCTCACCAATTTGCATAGGTGACCACAGACCCAAACCCTTGGATCTGAGAACAATGAAAAAGCATTCAGTTTTTTACAAGAAGACTTTTAATAAAAAATAGAAGTAAATAGAAATAAAGAAATCCCCCCTGTAAAATCAGGATGGTAGATATCTTACAGGGTAATTAGATTCAAAAACATAGAGAACCCCTCTAGGCAAACCCTTAAGTTACAAAAAAGATATACAGACAGAAATAGTTATTCTATTCAGCACAATTATTTTCTCAGCCATTTAAAGAAATCATAATCTAACACATGCCTAGCTAGATTACTTACTAAAAGTTCTAAGACTCCATTCCTGGTCTATCCCTGGCAGAAACCAGCATACCGACAGACACAGACCCTTTGTTTCTCTCCCTCCTCCCAGCTTTTGAAAGTATCTTGTCTCCTCATTGGTCATTTTGGTCAGGTGCCAGCGAGGTTACCTTTAGCTTCTTAACCCTTTACAGGTGAGAGGAGCTTTCCCCTGGCCAGGAGGGATTTGAAAGGGGTTTACCCTTCCCTTTATATTTATGACAGGGCTTCAGCCCCAGAGAGTGGGTCTTTGCCTTTCTGCCCTAGGCCCCAACGAGTCTAATTCTGGCCCTGCTTGGCAGACCCCCTGAAACCTGCTTGCAGCCCCCTAGGGGGCCCCAGACTCCTTGTTGAGAACCATTGTTTTACAGCATACCCAAGTACTGGCAGGCTGAAGTGTATAGTCAACAAATAGACTAGAAATCTAAACTTTTCAATTTCCTGATTCACATTCTTGGTTTTCTCAATCTTAATGTTGCATTCACAGTCATTTTCACTTCTTTTTTTAAAAGAAAGATTAGAGACATGCTGCTGAAAAGTTTTCACAAAGTTCTCCCCCTTCTAAAGTGCCACAGCAGCATGACTATTCTATTTGACAGATTCTTATACCATCCTCATCACCATAGTATCTAAGCATCTTCCAGTAGTGCCTTAATCACCAGAACTAACATTTGCCATGTGAGGTTCATTCTCTCTCTCATCCTCTCCTCGGGATGTGTTAAATGGAGAGTTTTGGTTTGGTAGAGTGTGGGTGGAGGCTGGAGGAGTGTGTGTGTTTTAAACGTACATGCTGCTATATATTTATGTTACAGTAGACAAATGACCTAAACTCAGAAACACTGTAAAGACAACTCTCAAAGCCAAGGTGGACTATCTACTGTCAGCACTCATTTTACCATTTGGACACCATGAAAAACTGTATGGATTATTATTTGTATTACCATAGAAGCCTCAGTCATGGACCAGGACCCCAGAGTGCTAAGTGCTGTATGAACACAGAGCAAAAAGCCCCAGCCCCAAAGAGTTTACAATCTAAGAAATGGATACAGGTCTAATGCACATGGGTGAACACTGCAGGCCCCATTCTGCTCTCACTTAGACTAGGCACAGATCTGGCACTGCAAGAACCCCACCCCCCAACAGTGGCCTGGCACAGCCCCTTCCCACAATGCCCCCCCCACTACCCATACAACAGTGTCCCTCAATCCAACCCCCCAACAGTTCACTGACCCAGCCCCCACACACGTTACCGCCCCAATAGTGCTCCCCAGCCCAGCCCAGCCCCCACTGCCTGTACAACAGTCCTTAAGACTGCCACTTTTCTAATTGCTGTTAACCAGACCCTGCAGGCCCTGCTCCGCCTCTTCCCCTAAACCCCCATCCTGTTGCTCATTGGACATCTCCACATCCCTCCCCCCAGCTGGGCTCCCTCTGCTGAGTAGGAGCTGGTGCGGGTTAATGATCTGGTGCCTCCCCTTGCCCTGTGGTAACCGGACTGTTGGTGTCCGCTCAGTACATCTGACTGGACACTGCCAGGTCCCTTTTTCAACTGGACTTTCCGGTCAAAAACCAGATACCTGGCAACCCTAACATGGTATCCAGACGCCAAAAACTTGACTGTCTGGATAAACCCCAGACAGGCGGCAACCATAACATGGCCCCCCACTGCCCGTACAACAGTGCCCCCCCCCGCCCAGCCCCCACAGCCCAGCCCCCACTGCCCATACAATGGTGCCCCCCCAGTCCAGTGTTTCCCAGCCCAGCCCCCACTGCCCATACAACGGTGCCCCCACAGCCCAGTGTTCGCCAACCCCCTAACAGTGCTCCCCAGCCCAGCCCCTGTTGCCCATACAACAGTGCCCCCCAGCCCAGCCCCCACTGCCCATACAATGGTGCCCCCCCAGTCCAGTGTTTCCCAGCCCAGCCCCCACTGCCCATACAACGGTGACCCCCGGCCCAGTGTTCCCCAGCCCAGCGCCCCACTGTCCATAAATGGTGCCCCCCCGCCCAGTGTTTCCCAGCCCAGCCCCCACTGCCCATACAACGGTACCCCCCCAGCCCAGCCCAGCCCCCCCGTGGGCCCGGCCCGGGGGCAGAGGACACTCCCCGGGGGCTCCCGCGAGCCGCCGCCCCTCACCCGAGGCTCGCAGTGCTTGGCGCTGTAGGCCGCGCAGCCGCCGCCCCGGCCCCTGTCCCTGCTCCGCGCGAACACTGAATCCTCGAATTCGGACCCCAGCGCCGGCTCCATCGCCCCAGCACAACCGGCCTCCCTGGCCACAGAGTCCCGGCTAGAGCGCCCCCCGTGCGGGAACAGATAAAGCCGTGGCTAGAGTGTCCCCTGGCTGAGCCTAGCCAGAAGGCGGTGCCGCGCAGCGGCTAGCGTGCTCCCCCACGGAGACCATAGAGAAGCGCGGCCCCGCGGCCGGAGTGTCTCCCCTGATGGGGTACTGAGCAAAAATCAAGGAGGACGCGGCTAGAGAGTCCCTCCCTGGCTATAGAGACGCAGTGGCAGCAGCTAGAGTGCCGCCCCGTGCTTCCGGGAGCCATTTCGGATTCGGCCTAGGCGCGCCCGCGGCGGCGCTGCCACTGGGAGGGGAAAGAGCCTGAGACGCTGGTGGGAACCGAGCAGTCGGAGGGCATTGGGTCAGGCACTGCGCCCCAGGGCCACCCGGTGACTGTAGCTCCCGGCATGCAATACACCTTCCTCTGCCAATCGGGGGTGTCAGACGCGGAAACTACAACTCCCAGCATGCAATGCTCTGTGTGCTGGGAACTGTAGGCCTTTCCATGCCCCACTGCATGCTGGGAACTGTAGTCCGAGGCTGTGGCCACGCAAAGGTCAGAGGCAGGGTAGGAGCTGCTCCCGGAGGCACGTGGGCTTCTCGCCACTTTCTCATTTATCCCCTGCCGGTAAAGTTAATATTTGCATTAGCACCAGCCACCAGTATCCAAGATCAGGAGGAGCATTAACAGGAGATGGAGGGACGTGGTTATTCCCCTCTATTGGGCACTGGCTAGGCTGTTCTCAGTTGTGGCAGCTGACAGCACCAGGAGCAATGGTCTCAAGTTGCTGGGGGAGGTCTAGGTTGTGTAAGCAGAGTCAGGATGAGGCCACCCTGACATCTGGTGGTGAGGTGTGGCAAGTCGTGGAAAAGAATTTCAGGGGCTGATCTCATTTGCATAGGCACACCCACCCCGCCTAGAATGAGGCCATAGCTCCCCAAATGGTCACTTTGGGCTGCTGTGGGATCCCCAGTGTCTCTGTTATTGGGGCAGGAAGAATAAATTGTTATTACCCTGATTATGGGAATCAAGGACAGTGGAACTGCACTTGGTCTTTTGTCATGATGGAGGGACTCTCCATCAACTAAGTAGCACTTGCTAGGCAAGGGATGTGGGTTCCAAAACTCTGTGAATTGAGAGAGGCTGGGGATAGGTATTAATATTTGGTGGCATGGGGCCCTGATGCGGGCCTTACATGCTAATTGTGCTGTCTCTTGTCTCTACTGTGGACTATCAGAGCTAATTTTGATTCTATTAGGAGTCTAGTTACAGGCTGTTAAGCTGAATTTACTTTACACTAGCACTGAGGCTCCATTACTACAAGCTAAAATTGCAAAAGAAGTAAACTTACTAAGAGCTGAAATCATGGAGTGTTGTGTTAAGTAGTGGGGGAGCCTGAAGACATATGGTGGAGCAGTTTGTGGGGTACCTGGGGCAGCTCATGGGGGCCTTATTGGGATCCAGGAAGTGGGTGGGTGAAGCCCCATGGAGAGGTGGGACAATCAGCTTTGGGCCATGAAAGGTGCCCCTTACACACACACCCCCCGCCCCCCATCTCCACCCAGGTTGGGAGGTAAAACTCTGCAGATAAACTTTTGAACTCTGGGGCTGAACCAGGGTCACAGACTTTTGGGTCATGGGACTTTGGGTGATTTTGGGTTGATGGATTCAAGAACCAAAGGGAAAGGACACATCCCAATTTGCTTGGCGTGGGGTTTTTTGGGGTTTTTTTTGCTCATGGGTTGTGTTATGAATCCTGTTGGTGGTGTTTCCCCAACATAATGCCACATTGTTTCTCTCTGTTATTAAAAGGCTTTTGCTACACTCAGACTATGTGCTTGCGAGAGGGGAAGTATTGCCTCTTGGAGGCGCCCAGCGGGGGTGATATATATTTGTCACAGGTCACTGGGTGGGGACTCGAGCCGGTTTTGCATTGTGTTATTGGAATGGAACTCCTAGATACTGAACCCGGCCCTTGTTGCTGCCAACTCTGACAGGCAGAAGGGTTACATTTGGATATTAGGAAACACTCTTTCACTAGAAGGATGGTGAAGCACTGAAATGGGTTACCTACAGAGGTAGTGGAATCTGCATCCTTAGAGGTATTTAAGGCCCTGGCTGGGATAATTTAATTGGTGTTGGTCCTGCTTTGTGCAGGGGGTTAGACTAGGTGACCTCCTGAGGTCTCTTCCAACCCTCATCTTCTATGATCAGGAGCCCAAGCATCACCATGTGCACAGGTAGGGAGGGAACTTTAGCTTAGTGCAGGGGTTCTCAAACCTCTTTCTGAGGGCCTCCCCCACCCACCCACCCACCTATGCTATAAAAACTCCACAGCCCACCTGTGCCACAACAGCTGGTTTTCTGCTTATAGAAGCCAGGACCACCATTAGGGGATAGCAAGCAGTGCAATTGCCTGGAGCCCCATGCCACAGGGGCTTCCACGAAACTAAGTTGTTTTGGCTTCAGCCCCTGGTGGCAGGGCTCAGATCCCCAAGGTTCAGCCCCATGCAGCAGGACTTTAGCTTTCTACCCTGAGCCCCAGTGAGTCTACCCTGATCCTGCTTAGTGGACCCCCTGAAACCTGTTTGAGGCTCCCCCAAGGGGCCCCGGACCTCTGATTGAGGGTGGTGTGGGGGGGCTCCTGCAGGCTGCAGCAGATGCATGCAGGCGGCAGCCCCAATGCACACCTCTGCTCCCCCCGTCGCCGCGCTTGGGCTCTGTGGTTGTCGGGGGGGCTGTCAGGGAGCAGGGGTGTGGAGAGGGGTTGGGACAGGCAGGAGACGGGAGGGTTAGACGGGTCAGGAGTTCTGGGGGTCCTGTCAGGGGGTGGGGGTATGGAGAGAGGTCGGAGCAGGCAGGGAGCAGGGGGGGTTGGATGGGTCGGGAGTTCTGGGGGAGCTGTCAAGCGGTGGGGGTGTGGAGAGGGGTCGGGGCGGGCAGGCAGGGGACAGAGGGGGTTAGATGGGTTGGGAGTTCTAGGGGTCCTGTCAGGGGGCGGGTAGTGGTTGGATGGGGCGTGGGAGTCCCAGGGGTCTGTCTGGGGGCGGGGGTGTGGATAAGGGTTGTGACAGTCAGGGGACAGGTAGGGAGTAGGGTTCTAGGGGGGCAGTTGCGTGGGGAGGGTCTCAGGAGGGGGCAGTCAGGGGACAAGGAACAGGGAGGCTTAGGTAGGGGGTGGGGTTCTGGGGGGAAGTTAGGGGCAGGGGTCCCAGGAGGGGTTGTTAGTGCAGGGGTTCTCAAACCTCTTTCTGAGGGCCTCCCCCACCCACCCATGCTATAAAAACTCCACAGCCCACCTGTGCCAGTCAGGGGGTGGGAAATGGGAAGGAGTGGATGGGGGTGGGGCTAGGGTGGGGCTCTTCCCCCTCCCCTCTTTTATATTGTTGAAATATGGTAACCCTGGGGGGGGGGGCGCATGATGGCATAAGAATAAGATCCCTTTCTGAGCTTGGATAGTACCAGGAACCCATTTGTGGTCACTCTGTAAACTCAAGTGTAACCCGTCTGCCAGGTGGGGCCAGCAGCAACTAGGGCTGGGTTCAGTATCTAAGGGTTCCTTTTCAACAATACAACACAAAATCGGCACAAGCCACCACACAGTGACCTGGAACAATTACACACCACCCCCTGGATGCCTCTAAGAGGCAATACTTCCCCTCTTGGAAGCACAGAGTCTGAGTGTAGCAAAAGCTTTTACTAAAAGGAGGGAATTAACTCAGTATTAATTTGGGAAAACACCACAACTAGGGCTCATAAACACAAGCCATGAGCAAAAGACCCACCCCCAAGTAAGTTGGGCAGTGTTCTTTTCCCCTCAGGGTCTTAAGTCCAGCAACCCAAAAGTCCCTTTAACGTGTCCATCCCTTCTCTGTACCCCACTCACAGTTGCTGTCCTTGGCCAGTGCAGCCCCAGAGTTCAGAGGTTCATCTGCAGAGTTCACCTCCCATCCTGTGTGGAAGGCGGGGGGAGGGGTAAGGAGGCACCTGCTGCATTGCTCGGGTACTCATTCATCGCCCCAACGGCTGATTGCCACGCCCCTGCAACCACCTCTGGCAGCATAAAACTCTCGGATAGGCTTAAGTGGCACTATGGTGCTGCAAAGGCCTCACACTGGTCTGCTGCATGGGCTGAATTTCACCCTCCTTGGGAAAACCCAGTGCTAGCAGACATCCCCAAAGCCGGGTGAGCAATCTGCAACACCAGCAAGTGGCAGGGGAGCCCCTCTGCTGGGTGCGTTCAGCAGCTGGGTTTGTCGTCTGTCGCTCTTAGGAAAATAACACTGGTTTATGCAAAGGGCTCTGCTCTGGCCCTCTCTACTAGCTTCTCTTCTGGCTGCTTGCCATGTCTCTCCACCAGCCACCCTGCTGGTCGCACCTCTCTGCCAGCTGCCCACTCATCAAGATGTCTTCAGGCCCCCCCCCACAAACACACACTTAACAGCTCTCAGTGATTTCAGCTGTTGTGGTGGAGCTTCACTGCTGGTGCACACTGGGCAGTCTCTTGCAATAGAGACACTGTCCCAAAGTAGGTCTAATACTTAGACCTAGATATCAGTGATTTCAGCTCTGCAGCATGTAACAAGACTCTCAGTTGGTCTAAATTAGCTCTTTTATTATATCATGGAGAGAGAAAAAAGCAAATGGTGTCCAGGACCCACACCACCCAATACAAATACCCATCCCCACCTTCTCTCAACTCACTTGGGCTTTGAGACCCATGTACAATGACCAGAGAGCAAGTATGCAAAATCAGGATGGGGGTAATAGGAGCCTATATAAGAAAAAGACCCCAAAATCAGGTGATAAAATCAGGACATCTGGTCACCCTAAACCCATGTCTCCTGCCTAGCAAGTGCTGTTCAGTTGAGGGTGAGTTCCTCCATTGGGGTATGCCAGGTACGGTTTTGCTATCCTCGGTTCACACAACTAAGGATAGCAACCCTTTATTACTCCTGCCCCAATAACAAGGAAATTGGGGATCCAACAGCAGCTGTAAGTGATCATTTGGGCAAGCAGTCCCATTATGCTTAGCACCTAGGCAGGGAAGGTGTATCCATGCAAATGAGATCAGCTTCTGAAGTCTTCTTCCCACAGCTCACCACTAGATGTCTGTTTACATAAGCAAGAACATGTCTCATCCATAACTCTCTAACTGACAAGTGTCCAGAGTCCCTTGCTTGATCAGTCTGCTTGTTGATTACCTCTCTTCACAGATCAGATTTTAACAAATCCAGGCAAGATCAGAAGTTGTGTCCTAGGAAGAAACTTTCATGTGACT